AGTGGAAAAGTTGTATTCAAACAGAACAAGAATAACATAGGATTGAATGAATTGAGGAAGATAGTTATACTTTTTATGAGTTTTTATTTCAAACATTACTGACTTTTAAAAAATGTTTCACTTTTTCCAGATTTAAGAAAACCTTTACTCTTAAGCTAACTGACTTAGAGCAGTTTGACAAAATACACCTTTGTGAACAAATTTAAAAATGTCTCATTTCACACTAATGAGGTAATGTATGGTGATTAACATAACATAATGAAATAAAAAATAATGTATTGTTTCTCCCTACCTGAATGCTCCAGAAGATTTGTGAGAATTCTTATATTTTTATGGCAATTTATTTATTTGCATAAGTTCAATAAACATTTGTTCTCCTTATGACAGGACATAATTGGAAACAATAATTATATTACCAAGGCTTTGACTGAATGTCATATTTGAGAGACATGCAAAGACTCAGTTATGACCAGACAGCTTTAAGGAACTAAGGTTGAGTTTATGGAGCCAATAAAGCTCCTTGGATATATCACCCTGATACCTTGCTTTCAGAATTCCAAACAACCTTACTAGGTGAGTAGAGGTTACTTCCTGGCAGGTGCAGGAACCACAGGATATTTTGGGGACCTCGAGAAGAGAGGAACTCACCCAAATGTGTAGGTATTGCAGGTCAAGTCTGATGGGAAGGATTTGGCTTGGCTTCTGGCCTTGAGAGGCTATTAAAAATTCTACCTAGAGATTCCTTTGAAAAGTTCCAGCAATGCAGGTATTAAAAAGTCTATAGGGTCAACCATGGTCTTGCTGCACTTATATAACCAGGCCAAGATTTTTTGAAACTGAAAAACTTATTTTGCAAACAAAATACTGTTAATATAGCTATCTTTGGTAAGAATGAGGGTGAGTAGAGAGAGAAAATAGGTTTCAATAAAGCATCTTTGTAGATATAAGATTTTAATACTATTCATTATAAGCTGAACTAGATTGGGAATTCTTCTAGTGTCCCCCAATGCCTGGCTACAAGTCTCCAAACTAACATTTTGATTTTTCTTCCATCTTTCTGACTTCGAATCCTCTGAGAACTAAAACTTCCCTTCCTCCTGGAGCCCTGGCAAACCAAGTATAAATGACTGGTGTAAAGAAACTGCCCTAAGAGCTCATGAATAGACAATCTTTGTCCTGTTGCTCTATGGGCCACTCAAAAGATCACCAGAGACATCTGAATGACTATCTAAGAAAATCTGTCAGGTTGCCAGTACCTGCCCTCACTCTAGTTGAAGATGCTTCAGATCCGACATCTAGAAGTCTTCTCAACTGGCTATCCCGAGACTCAAAAACTGGGTTAACATTTGATCCAATCGTTAATCATTGCTTTTCTTTTGCTTCCATAGAAATGCCTCTTATTTATTCCCTGAGTACTTGAACCAGAGGCCTAACTCAGAGAATACATCTGGATTATTGCCTCCTGAAATGAGTTTGACTAAACTGAACTACTGTCAGGGCTAAGGGACTAGATCAATGAGATGAAACAACCCACCTGCTCAACTCTTAATATGTGAAACTCCCAATGGAGTTTCAGATGGGGAAACTGAAGGGGCTCAGGACAGTCCCCCCCCGCCCCACGCCCCAATGTGCCGCTTGGCATGTGGATTATTTTCAGCTAAAGGCACTTGATACCCAGCAGTCTCAAGAAAACTTTTGTCTCTCCCTTAACCAAACAGAAGACTCTAAATTGGTGGTCTCTCCTAGAATAAGGTTTATTAACAGAGATAAATTTTATCCGAGTGACCCATTTGTATGGTAGGGCAAACATCTAATTACCAAACATCTGCTCTTCTTATCCCCCTGTGAATTATTTCCCTCCCTCTGAAGTCCGAGACCCTTCCCTCCGTCTCCTTAGTTCAGAATAACATATGTTCCTTATTTTGCCTGACTGTCTTTGAAATGTCTATGTCTATGTGGATTCCCCATAATGTACAGTATTAAATTTAATTTTCAACTGTTAATCTGTCCCATATCAATTTTATTTTTAGTCCAGCTAAAAGGAACTTGAAGTGCAGAGGAATTCTTTCTCCCTGACATTAGATGTCTGGAATATGTACAATATTTTATCTTTTTATGCTTCTTTTTCTATAAATCAAAAAAGTGTGTATAATACAAAATATATTAGATGGTGTACCTCTTGAATCTGAAAACAAATCATGCATGCATTTAAAAAATAATAATAAAGAAAAAATAAGGATGAGGGGAAAATATGCCTAGAAAATGGTACCACAAGACAGCAAGTATAGCAGTATTAATATTAAACAAATTTTAAGGCTCAAAGTATTAATGGGGATAGAGAGGTGCACTGTAAGGACTTTTGTTCCAGTGTGGACAACAAGATATTCTGGAAAGCCATCCTGAAGCAAAATAGCTAAGGACTCAATAAACAACAAACAAACCCTAGCACATCATGGCCCAGACAACAAGAAACCAAAGAAAACCCTCAAATCTCCCAGAACAATACACACCTAGGAGCTGAAGCCTGACTACTAAACACAGCAGATTGGGTTCATTGGGGGCAAATGTCATTAAGATTCTGCACTTTGTCACTTAATGGCAGCCTCTTGGGGAAAAGAGGGTTCTAGGCCTTTCAACTGAACTGGAGACACCTAGCATAGAGCCAGGGCTCTTGAGAAAGTTTAGGCTTGAGAAAAAAAAAAAAGTCTAGCATAGATTTCTAAGAAACCTGTTTGTCTCAGAAGTGGCGCTATGGAGAAGGGCAAAGGAAATTTACAAGGGTTTTTCCAAAGACCTAGAGTCTAGACTTTTAGTGAAAGCTTCCTGAAATTAAAGAGCCCTGGGCGCCCTCTGCTGCCTCATGGAGGCAAGCTTAAACTTCTTCAAGAAGGAAGCATCTTTAACCCGTTATTGGGTTACACACCAATTATTTATTATTTATCATCTCTCCAACTATTCATGCATTCATTGTTTATTGAGCACATATTACCTGCCAGGCATTCTCCTAGCAATTTGGGGTGTCCAAATATACACTCATAATAAATGTGACCTAATTGAGGAAGAAACCACACTATGAAGACTTAGGCTTCCAAATAAAAAAGAGATCCCGCCCCTCAGAAAAATATTTCAGATATTGAAATTATCAGATAGACACTATGAAATACCTATTGAAAGTTTAAAGGAGTAAAAATGGAATAATACGAGCAAAAAGCAAGGGACATTCAAAATTAGGCCCATTTTTAAAACTAATGAAATAGAACTTCTGGAGATGAGAATTATAATCCATAATGACAAATAAAAGTCCAGTGATACGATGTAACATTCAGGGCCCTGACGCGCCTGACCACACAGCTACTATGTATCGCAGGAACTGCCAGGATCAGAACTTCATGTTTACAACTGTAGGGCAGCTTTCAGTGTCCGACTCTTAGAATTTCATATACCAACCAAGGAAGATGCTTATGGTTATAGAAAACTGAACAACACGATAAACATACTTCATCTGTGACTTCTGCACTTAACGCATACAGAATATCTGATTTATTACCAGGTACACATACTCTGGTTTCTCTTCAGATCGTTTAAATCTTTCGCCTTTATAAGGTACACATTTAATAATTTCAACATTTCAACCCTGGCTTCAGAAAAATAACAATACATACCAAAAAACCAGTTTCATATATACTGCACTCTTTCATCATCATCTGAAGAGTCATAGGAAGGATTTTTCTAAGATAGTAGAAATAAAAATCTTCTCACATGCTTGCAATCAAAAAGCAGTTCTAAAGACGTGGATTAGAATGAATACCATGAGAAACTATGTAATATTCAAATACTCGCGGGAAGCGTCCCAGAAACCCGAGGACCGTGAGCAGGGCGCGTGCGAGCCGGCGGCCCCGCGGCGGCGCTGCGAGGCTCCCTCGGCCACTGCACAGGACGGACAGGAGGGACACAGGGACACCGCCGCCCTGCTGCTCCGGCGGCACAGCGCTCGGCTCTGCGTTCTTCCCCGCCGACCGCCCAGAGCCTGGCGGCGAACGGCCAGCCGCAGCTCCGCGACGCCGGCGACCAGCGTCTGCGCACCAGCAGGGGGCGCCGCGGGGACCCGCCCCGGCCAAGGCGGCGGCAGGGAGCGACAAGACGCGCGACCCCGCGGGGCAGCCGGAAGAACGTAACGTGACGGGAGGCGCAATGGGCGGGACGCGTGCGTGGAAACGGCCCAATGAGGGGCGGCGCGGAGGGCGTGGCCAGGAGACCGGGCTGAGGGGGCGGGGCTTGCCGGGCCGCCGCGTCCCTTCCACGCCTGCGTGGACGCGGAGGGTGGAGGACGGCCGCTGCGGCTTTTTAGGACTTTGCAGTTCCAGTTGAAACCGGAGTGTAGTTGTGTTGCTGTTCGGTACTAGCATTTCGAGGCGATCCCCTCTTCCGGTCGAAAGCGCAGTTCTCTGGCGTGAGTCCCCGGACCCGCAGCATCGGCAGCACCTGGATGGTGTAGGAATGCAAATAATCCGATCCTGCTAGAGGTCCGGGGCATCAGAATCTGTGAGGTGGGGCCGAGCAATCCGTGCTTTAAAAACCGCTTCAGGTGATTTGGGTGCACGCTGAAGTTTGGGACTGCTCTGAAGTACTGTGTGTCCCTTAGTTCGGCTGCTGGAGGTGACTCTTCAAATGCGAGCTGAGCTAAACCGAGCCGTTTACCTTCAGGGTCGTTACCAAAGCCAAAACAGGGCTTAGCCCTTACCCACTCAGACTTCGATGCCAGAGTATAAGGTGAAAAATAAATATGTCTAGAAAGGCGAGATCTGGGAGAGGGATTTGAATCAACAATGAATGCAGAATTCCATTTCTCCAGGTCTGAGTAATCATAACCTCTCATCTACAGACGTTTTGCCCTCACTTAGACGTCTCCATCAAAGGTACTGCATGGTAAATAATGAATTCCCAGTCACTGGGCCTGTAAGGAAGTAAATGCTATTTTTATAATCAGAGCAAAAATACAGTGAAAATGCTAAACCACTTTTATTTAGGCTCTTCCCGAGGTAATGCTCTCCTGATGAATCTGTAAAACAAACCAGGACAGGTTAGATTTGAGTAGGATATACACACTAATCAATCATTCTCAGGCGGATTAGACTTTTATACTTCATAAATTCTATGAGCTCATCCACATTTTCAGTTACTCATTGCATTCATTTATTCTCTGCATCTCTCTCCTATAACTGAAGAAATAAAAATGGTTTATTTCTTCGGTGCCATTTTGCAATCAGTATTGATATTTGATGTACAGGGAAGAGAGGTCTTTTTTTTTTTTTTTAATAAAGATTTTATTTATTTATTTGAGAGAGAGAGAATGAGAGACAGAGACCACGAGAGGGAAGAGAGCAGCCTGATGCGGGACTCGATCCTGGGACTGCAGGATCATGACCTGAGCCGAAGGCAGTCGCTTAACCAACTGAGCCACCCAGGCGCCCAGGAAGAGAGTCTTTTAACACACATTCGTATAATGTGCTATGAGATATCTTTACTCCAATATTACCTATGCCTTAGTCATTTTTCGCATGAACAGATAATGTCTCAAACCATGCTTAGTCAAGAGATATTCCTGAACAAGATGGTCTCTGTTCCAAATCCCCCAAATATACTTCTTCAGGTGGGATTTGAGCAGTTCAAAGCTCATATTTTTTCTTTAGTTTTTGACCTGAGAAGAACTGACTACTCTGATTGTCCTTTTAATTCAGTGACTAAAGAAAATATAGTACTTGCTAACAATTGTTAAGTGTATACTAAATATCTATGAGCATTTTAAGAACTTTACATGATTTATCTCACTTAATCCTTAATAGTACACTACTTCTTAGAATTATTTTATTGTTGTTGTATAGATGTGGAAAATAAGTCCCAAAAAGCCTGAGTCACTTAGTTTATTGAACCATTGCAACAACTCAGCTCTGGCCCCTATCCCTGTTGTTATAGATATACATATACTTTAATTAGTTATGATTGCGGCAAATCCTCACTGAGAGCCCATTGTGTGCCTGCAACAGCCTTAGGCTCTGGGGAGTCAGCAGCAAAAAAGACTAACCCTGCCAGTGGAGCTTGCTGTCTGGAGAACGGGACGAGGAAAGAAACAATATACAAATTCATGTCACTTTTGCTAAGTGTAATGAAGAATGAACAGAATAAGTTAAGAATGGGATAGAAGGGCGCCACTGGACTTTTGCTGATCAGAGAGTATCTCCCAGAGGTGGTAACACTGTAATCCATCCACTCACCCCAAAACCCAAGAAATGCGGGGAGTATTTCAGTGTGTAACAGGTGGTGTACCCAGCTGAAGCATCCAAAACATGACAAGGTTTATCCGCTCAACTCCCTCTTTTCCCTTTCTGCTTTCTTTGACTAGCGTGCTCTGTGGCTTCTCTGTGGTCTTCAGGCTCCGTCTGTCCTTTTGTAGTAGCCATTTGCTTCTTCCATTCTTTTTCTGAGTCCCTCTCGATTTCTCTCACCTTTATTCTTCCCCCTATGCTCCTCTGTCTTTCCTAAAAAATAGCCATAACTTGGTTGTGATACTTGTATTGTTTCGTACTTAGGAGATACAGCTTAACCTTCATGGTTAACCTTTTAGACCAAATGCTAAAACTTTAGTCCTTCACGTTTCCACAATTCCTGTTCCCTATCCATGGTAGCAGATGTCATGGTTATGAAAGGAAAAGTCACTCAAATGCTGCTGTTCAAGTAAAGCAAAGGGAGCCTTTTTTCCTGTGTAGCGCTGCAAACACATGCCACCAGAATGAAGCTCAAGAACCCGGAACTTCCCCCAACGTGATCTCCACCTCTCCTCAGGCTTCTTTCCTGCAGCCAAGGTTTGGAAGGCAGCTGGGAGTGTAAGTCAAGGACGAGACTGCTGAAGTCGTTCATCTGAATAAAGTACAAAAAATAGCCTTCAATAAGAAAACTCTGTATAACTTTTGGGTCCGCAGTCAATCGAAATGGCCAAAACTATGTGACAGAACCATCAAATGCAAATAGTTGGAGAATTCAAGTTATGGTCAATGACAGATATCTAATTCAAAACTGTAAAAAGTATCATTTTTCTTTGGACTATGTGTGTAGTAAAGCACTAACGTTATCCAAAGGGAGGTGTGGCCTTTGCCCTTTGCTGGGAGGTGATGTCTAGGCCCTTGGAATGTCCTGCAGGATAAGAGTATCTTTGTTTACCAAGAGGCCTTGGGCTGCACAGGAGAGTGTAATAATATCATTTATGTTCGAGGCTTTGGGCCATGTGGCGTCTGGACGACCTCCAGGGGGACTGTGGACTAAAAGATCAGCCACGTGGACGGTCATCCATGTTTACGTGATAAAGCCCTATGGTTGGCAATGTGTATTGTGTTGTTACAATATTGTTGTGTTTCAGGAGGCATTAATACTCCCCACACCCACAAAGGGAAAGGACTACTGTTAGCTCTGAGTTGGAAACCTCTGAGACTCTGCTCATGTGCTTCTTACCTTGGCTTATTTAAAAAAAATTTTTTTAAAATTCAATTTAATTAACATATAGCATATTATTAGTTTCAGAGGTAGAATTTAGTGATTCATGAGTTGCATACAACACACAGTGCTCATTCCATCAAGTGCCCACCATAATGCCCATCACCCAGTTACCAAATCCCCCCACCCACCTCACTCCAGCAACCCTCACTTTGTTTCCTAGAGTTAAGAGTCTCTTATGGTTTGTCTCCCTCTCTGTTTTCATCTTATTTTATTTTTTTCTTCCCTTCCCCTATGTTCATTTGTTTTGTTTCTTAAAATTCCACAGATGAGTGAAATTAACTTATTTTTAATCTCTATCCTTTTGATATAATAAACCCCAACTTTGAGTATAATAACTTTTAGTGAATTCTGTGAGTCATCTAAAAAATTGCCAAATCTGAGGATGGATTTGGAGACCCATCAACTTTGCAGTTGATGTCAGACATGAGGGCAGTCTAATGGGACTGTTCCTTAACTTTGCACCATGTCACAATGATAGTATTAGTGTATTCTGTTTATTACTCACATATTTGGATGAATATTTTGCCTAACTTAATTAATTTTGTAGTCCCATATGAGCCCAAGTCTATTCATCTGCCAGCAGATTTCCAAAGAGTGATAAACATTTTTTTAGGTCTTAGTGAATGATAATAAAACAAGCAAACAAAAAAGCAAGCAATTAGCTGTAAGTTTCCTTGATGGTCTACAAACCTGAGGGCTCCAGGTCAAGAACAACCTCATCTCTCTGCATCTCTAATGCCCACGCCTGTGTCTGGCCCAAAGATATTCAATGACCACTTCTTGAATGATTGATTTATAAGAAATACTCTGAACTACTGCCATGGTACAATTGAGCAAGGAATTTATTTATTTATTTGACAGAGAAAGACACAGCGAGAGAGGGAATACAAGCAGGGGGAATGGGAGAGGGAGAAGCAGGCTTCCCGCGGAGCAGGGAGCCCGATGCGGGGCTCGATCCCAGGACCCTGGGATCATGACCTGAGCCGAAGGCAGATGCTTAAGGACTGAGCCACTCAGGCGCCCCTTGAGCAAGGAATTTTGACACATGTCAAGGATCTCATAAGCTGTCATGATGAAATTATGCTCTTTAATTTCTTCTTTTATGTCCTTTTGCTACCTCTTAATCTGTTACCTTACACTTTAAATATGGTAGGTTATTTTTAAGTCTGACTCAATCATCAATTCAAATTCTACCTTTGAAATCTATTAATTTAGCTTTAGCTTCTTGTCCAATTGTACATTTTATTAATTTGTGTTTTTCCATATTCTTAATTTCTTATATTTTCATAAGCCAAAGTATTTTCTGGGGTTTTTCCTTTTTATTGTATTTATTTTCACTTTTAGTTTTTTTTTTCATACCTATCCATTTTGTGGGACATTCCTACAACCATCATGAACCAGAGATTCACTGTACAGGTGGCTGGTTAGGAGCTCTCGGATGAATTGATTCGATTCATTCAGTATTTTCTATAAGTACCTGCAATGTGCTGGTTTTATGTAACTGCAGAGACCACTGTTTGGTTCCTTACAATCTCAGGGAAAAGTCCATCAGGACATCATGTGGGAGTTTTATTGGTTTTTGTCTCTGTGGATAGTGGTCAATTGCAGTCTAATTTCCTGGAATTCTGAACAAGCTACCACGTATAAAAGTATTAGGTCCAGGTGATTATACAGCTGATTTCTGTCTACTCTTTAAAGCACAAATACTTTCTACAATCAAGTATTTAAAGCATAAAAAAGATGATAGGGTGATTTTGCAATATGTTCATAAATGTACTATCCTTACCTTGAAGGATGGAGCCTTATTACCCTTCTGAATATATGCCACATTTAAGTGACTTCTAATTAATAGAAAGTGGCAGAAGTGACAGCGTGTGACTTTTGAAACTAGGTCTCAGAGACTTTGTGGCTAATTCCTCCCCCACTCTCTCTATGATTTGTCTTTGTGGAAGAGAGTCAATTAGCCCTCCTGAGAGGTCTATGTGGCAAGGCATGGAGGTCCTACTAAGGTCCTCCTGCCAAGAGCCGACAGGAACGTGGGTAGCATGGGAGTGAGCCAACTTTGGAAGGGAACCCTCCAGTCACAGTCAAGCCTTCAGGTGACTGCAGCCCATGTTTACATCTTGACTTCAACCTGAGAGACCGTGGCCAGAACCTCCCAGCAAGTCACTTCTGGATTCCTGACAACCCAGAAACAAAATGAGATAACAAATGTTCGTTGATTTAAGCTGCTGAGTTTTTAGGTACTTTGTTACATAGCAGTAGATAATAGAGGAGAGGCCATAGTTAAGATTTTTGAAGTTACTATAATCTTAATGACACCATCTATATGGATGAACCCAAAAGAAAAAATCACAGAGCCTGGGTGGCTCAGTTGGTTAAGCGACTGCCTTCGGCTCAGGTCATGATCCCGGAGTCCTGGGATTGAGTCCCGCATTGGGCTCCCAGCTCGGCGGGGAGCCTACTTCTCCCTCTGACCTTATCCCCTCTCATGCTGTTTCTCTCTCTCTCTCTCTCTCAAATAAATAAATAAAATCTTTAAAAAAAAAAAAGAAAAAATCACAGAATGATTTTATGTATGAATAGAGGAGGAAAAATCCCTCTGACATATTAAAATGTGTGCAGCCAGTATTTAGGATAATAATACAACATGACCAAATAAGATTTGGCCTGGGAATGCAAGTATGGAGTAACATTAGGAAATCTACCTACACTTCATTGCAGCAGGATAAAGGAGGAAAAGCACATGATTCCATCAAATGCCAAAAATTCACATATCATTCCGAATAAAAACTCTTAAAATATATTTAGAAGGAAACTAATCAACACATAGAGATTACACACTCACACACATTTGCACGCAGGCAAACAAGTTTTTCATGAGGCATGAACAACCAAAGCCACTTCAATGAGAAGGAAGAAAAAGACCGTGATGCCTGCTAGCATAGCTAACATGGCAAATTGTTTGTGATTTTAGCTAACACAATAACACGATGGGAGTAATTAACAGAAATAGATATTGGAAAGAATATCAAACTTTTTGATTTAATGGACTGAAAAAGCCAGTCAACAGTCCATTAACTATTGATTAAACTGACATAGTTTAGTAATCAGATAGATATAAAGTGCATGTAAATAATAAATTTCTCAATTGTCCTCCCTCCCCCCCAAGAATTTTTAAGTGCTTCAGTCTGATGCCATCTGTCAGAACAGATTAGAAAGCAGAACCTTGTGAAAATCAGCCTTACATTTGTTGTGAGAATTTACGGGGATTAGTTCACAGTGTGACAGAGTGACCCCACCTTTTATTGTATGAGTTTCACTCTATTTTATTTTTAATTACATGAGTACTCCATCAACTCTAAAAAATTCTCAGCCATGATCTTTGAAAGCTCACACCTGCACCATTCTCTCTGGTTGTCTTTGTGGTATCATGATTAGACATATGGCAGACAAATTTACTAGTAATTCCAGGTCTCTTAAATTCACTTTTACATTTCTCTCCCTGCATTTTGGATAAAGTCTGCTCCATCTCGGGCCAATTGACTATTTGGCCTATCCAGCAAGCCTTTAATTTTAATTTTCTTATAATTATAATTATATACATTCATTTCTAGAGTTTGTATTTTGTTCTCTCAAATCTTTTTGGAAAATTCTTTGTATTCTTAGTCCCTCAGCATATTTCAAATAGTCCTTTTATTTCTTTTTAAATATATTAAAGTTAGCAATCTGAAATCTATATCTGTTAATTTTCTTTGTACTCTTTTTGTTTCCATCGTGTGCTTCTCTTATTCTTGGTCATAGTGTCTTGTTGAATTGTGTGTTGATTTTGGTTGCGAAGCTGCTCATTCTTTTTTTTTGTTGTTATCTTATCTGTGGGGATTTGTTGAGACCTAAAATGAAGCTTATTCCTCCACAGAGGATGTGTATTTGCATTTACCAGGTGCTCAGGCGCACCAGCTTGGGATATCCCTACATTAATTCTCAGCCTGGGTGTATTCTGAATCCCTGTGATATTAATGGCAGAAACAAGTGAGTTGTAGCCCAAATTCTCCGTGGCAGAATCTACCTCGCTCAGCACTGAGGCTCAGGGCACTCTTGTTGCAATCCTCTATGGTGAGTGTGGGTAGGGGTGGGTGCGCATGTGTGTTCATTTCTAGTTCATCCTTCTACTGTGAGGATGTAACAGGTCGGGTTGTCAGCTACACCAGGAAAGATTTTCATGTACAGCAGAAGCCACATCCTGCCAGGAAGGGCTTCCTTTCCCTTTCTCCCTCCTTTCAGTCCTTGCCTCCTGGGGACATGGGGAAAGAGTTCTGGGTACTGAGAAGGGGGCCTCAGTCCTGGGGTAACTCTCGCCTAGTCAGTCAGACACCTTACGGGATTGAGTAGTGGGCTTCTCTCTTGTGACCCAGAGGGCCTCGCAGCTAAATACTGCCGGAGGAAGAGCGTAAATGGAAAAGAGCTTCCTAGGAGAGAAGGTATAATAGCTGACAGGATGAAGGCCTCTCTAAGACAGGACAGGCTCCCTTTCCTGTCCCTCTGTGCCTTTAGGACACAGCACATACAACACAGACTGCCCCCCACCGCGCTCCCCCCACCCGCGCCCCCTGGCCCCCCCAGCTGAAAGGGCAGCAATTGGAAAGGTAGCAAACCAGGAAAACCTAGGTAAGATTTCTGTGAAAGCTCATATTGTCTTTGCCCTTTTTCAGTATTACAGATCTACATGCTAAAAAGAAAAAGCAAAACTCTGAGCAGAACAAAGTTTTCAGAGCCTGCCATTTTGTGCCCCGCGTAAGTGATCCTTACCAAGTTCCTGAACAATGTCACGATGAATTTGGAGGCCTGTACACGGAAACAGGGGCTTTACATTCCAAATGGTATTTTCATTTAGAATTACTAGTTTTGTGAAACCAAAGTAATAATGATTGTATAGAACCGGTTTTTGCTCGTAGTGAGCGCTCAATTTTTGGTAGGTATTTTAATTGACCGTGAAACGTGCACATGCTTCTCAACCCTAATTGAAAATTAAGGGTCGTAATTAGCTTTCAGCTCGGTAGGATACATCTGAGAATAGCTTTTAGAAAGAGAATTATAGCTCATTTATTGAAAGCATGCGTGGCTCTGAAAAGAGCCTTTGGGGTTGGGCTCACAAGGGGCTTACTTGGCAAGCTCACTTGGCGCTGGTGTACTTGGTGACGGCCTTGGTGCCCTCGGACACGGCGTGCTTGGCCAGCTCCCCGGGCAGCAGCAGGCGCACGGCCGTCTGGATCTCCCGCGACGTGATGGTCGAGCGCTTGTTGTAATGCGCCAGGCGGGACGCCTCGCCCGCGATGCGCTCGAAGATGTCGTTGACGAACGAGTTCATGATGCCCATGGCCTTGGACGAGATGCCCGTGTCGGGGTGCACCTGCTTCAGCACCTTGTACACGTACACCGAGTAGCTCTCCTTGCGGCTGCGCTTGCGCTTCTTGCCGTCCTTCTTCTGCGCCTTGGTCACCGCCTTCTTCGAGCCCTTCTTCGGCGCCGGGGCCGACTTGGCGGGCTCGGGCATCCCGATATTAAAAACTACACTAACGCTAAGACTTGGGTAAATAATCGGCCTTGGCAAGGCCACGTTTATTTATAGATGCGGTATTCCAATGAGGTTAGTAAAATCATTCAGGATTGGATTAATTTTAGTGTGTCGTCACAAATACGAATGTGAGATACTTGAAGGCCTGGCTTTTCATTGGCTGCTTCGATGCTTTGTTTCGACCCAATCAGAACGTCTAGACTAGGCTACCAGAAGCTAGTTATAAATAATCCTCTTCAAGCAAAAGTATCTTTTTTTAACCTTGAGTAAGTGAAACTTTGGTGGAGAGACTGTAACTTTCGGTTTGTGTGTGGACAGCTTCTTGCTGGCTAGTGAAACTTCCTACATTGGGAGGGGTCTCTCATCTCGTTTTGACTTCCTAGATGCTGCAGCTGGTAGGCAAGTGGTTCTTGATGAGATGCGCATTATTCCTGCCACAGCTAACCAACCTAATGGAAAGAACCAGGATTTCTGAAATATGGTGGACTACAGTGACCTTTGAAATGCCTTCTTTATTCCCAAGTCTCTTGGTTTTCTATCAATAGACTTGGTGGCTAAAGTACTTTTGTAACAATCTAAGAGGAATGCCAGTGGTCCATTCAGTGTCAAATCTTTAAGGTGGGTATATAGGACATAACACACTAGCATCCCCCAAGCACATGGTACCTGGGTAGCATTTGTAAATAAGCTATGGCCCCCCAACTTATGCTCCCCCTTATTGCACCGTGTGGAGTGTGGGCCAACTAATGTGGAAACAGCGCAGTTAAGAGAGTAGAGGGGGAAATAGTGCTCAAAATAGTATCCCAGAGTTTCTAACCGTACTGAGAAGTTTTCAAAGGCTCGAGTGCACTTAACTAGAGTCCCGGTAGGTGCCGCCCGTGGTCCGTGGGCTGGTTCTCCCGCCACGCCCCCTTACACTGCAGAGTGCGACAGCTCTTTTCCTGAGGTCTGGGGGTGGCTCTGAAAAGAGCCTTTAAAGATCCTAAACTATTCCATATTCGCTTACTTCTTCTTGGCGGCCACCTTCTTGGGCTTGGCCGCTTTAGGCTTGGCTGCCTTGGGCTTCGGGGCTTTGGCCTTGGCTGGACTCCGGGCGGCCTTCTTGGGCTTGGCAGCCTTCGCCTTCTTCGGACTCTTGGCCGCTTTCTTGGCGACAGCCGCCGCCGCGGGCTTCTTGGCCTTCTTGGGGGTCTTCTTGGCGCTCTTCTTGGGGGTGCTCGCCCCCGCGGCCTTCTTGGGCTTCTTGGCCGCCCCGGAGGCCCTCTTGGGCTTGGCCGCGCCCGCCTTCTTGGCTTTGGGCTTGGCCTCCCCGGAGGCCGCCTTCTTGTTGAGCTTGAAGGAGCCCGAGGCGCCGGTGCCCTTGGTCTGCACCAGGGTGCCCTTGCTCACCAGGCTCTTGAGGCCCAGCTTGATGCGGCTGTTGTTCTTCTCCACGTCGTAGCCGGCGGCCGCGAGCGCCTTCTTGAGCGCGGCCAGGGACACGCCGCTGCGCTCCTTGGAGGCGGCGACGGCCTTGGTGATGAGCTCGGACACCGGGGGCCCGGACGCCTTGCGCTTGGCGGCACCTGCCGACTTGCGGGCCTTCTTCTTGAGCTGCGTTTTCTCCGCGGGAGAAGGGGCAGGAGGCACGGCAGGTGCGGTCTCAGACATTGTGCGTTTGGATTCCTGGCGGGAAAGCAGGAAAGAAGAAGGATAATAAAGTCTCCGAGCTGAGCTGCCGGCCCGGGCGTGCGTGTGTGCATATATACAACAAGCACGCTGCGCGCTGATTGGTTCCCAGCTCAGTCCTCCAGCTCGACTGCAACCTAGTCGCAGCTCTGTCCCGGAACTGTGTTTGTTACAACCGAGGAAAGCAAGAAAAATAAAATTTCCTGTGGAGGAATCACACCGATTATATTCTGTAGCGAAGCGGGACACCTCAGGCTTTGAGATCTTCATGTTTTCTTCTTCCAGTTTTTATCACGTTAGTCGCAGCTTTTTTCAAAAGCCCCCGACACTCTGAGAGATTCGCAGGTCAGAGAGACAACTTCTTGATTTTCGTTTAAAATATAAATTCTTCCCTCTGTGCTTTCCGTCGCTTGCTCTCTAGTGATATTCTACACATTCTTGGCTTCTCATACATTCAACAACTGCTTAGTTCTCATGGAGATGTACGCAGAAAATCTGTTTCATATGAAGAGAAATAACACAGGCTCTTTCTCCATTTCTCTACAAGAATGATAGCAAAGGAAGCTTGGAATAACAGCTAGTTCTGACAAGAACAGCCATTATTTTGTCTGAAAAACCTTTATCATAGCTTTTAGTGACACTTTGCAGGGTTAGTTTGCGGTTTCATGCATTCAAGATTTGTCTAGGAAAATGGGGGATGCAGCAATGTATGGTCCTCCTGACATGGTTGTTGGGCTTATGTTTGCCATAGGTGAGAACAGGGGATTTAGAAGAGGCATAAAAAAGAGTTGGGTCCCTTTATTGTTTGAAAATATCATCTTTTTTACATTAATTTTATTTGGGGGGATCAGTTACTAAAATGTTTACAAGTGTGGGTACAGATTTCTGCCATGCTTGAGGAAGAGAAATATGGAATGTATTAAAGTAACAGAATCAAAGATTATACACATGCATAAGACACACACAGACACAGACATTCACACACTTATGGAATTTCCTTGAAAGAAGGACATTTTATAAAAAGTATGTTTTATATTCACTACTACAATTTTTAATAATGGAAGGAAACACATTACAACTTATGCTTAATGTTGAATAGGAAATAGATTGACTGCAGAAAGTGATTTAATGTGATTTTCTTCACTCCTTAAATCCACTCTTTGTCTTTAACATAGTATCTTAATTTTGAAACATGTAGTAATCTGTGTTGCCCTCAGATGGTGAAAGAAGGAAATGCTGGGAATACACAGAGCAAAGCCCAAGAGGTGATTCTGATCCCCTCAAAATCAAGAAATGACTGATTACTTCCTTCAGTACATCCAAGTGAAACATGAAAATTAGTGTCACTATAGGCTACATATTAACATGATTCAAATGGGAGAGATGAGATGAGCAATCAGCTCAGTATAAATCATTCTTACTTTGTGTGTTCACTTGTTACGGAGTTTATGCATTCCTAATCCTAAAGTGGTTTTGATTCAGTCTAGTTGGTTCTGAAGCTCACTTGAAGATTATTCATTGATAGCGATGAGGAGTATGAATTACAGAGAGGCTGAGCCGTGGAAGGCTGGGACAGTAGTCAGTCCATACAAGAAAGAGAAGAGCCAGAATTACAACCATGATGGGTGAGATAAAAGAGAGATGCAGTACCAAGAAAGAAGAGCTGTCTCTAGGCCGCGTCAACGCAGGGAGTCTCCAAGGTACTGCCCCAATCACCTTCATGGGCTCATGAGTTACCTTGATGTGCTTAACTTCCAAGCGTCTCCCCTCAGGTCTGTCCTCCTGCTTAACTGTCATACTTGTATTTCTGGGCGCTTCCTTGATATTTCCCTTTGCACCTTCATACAGCAGGCTACATCTTGCTACAATCTCTTTGCTGTTGATAAGTGAAGATAATCATTGCCATTTACCCTTACTCACCCGCACTAGACTATTGTTATTAACATATAGTTTTTATTCCAACATTCATGGCATTTCCCAAAGTTCCTCTCTGCACATTTTCAAAACCCAAAGTTTTTCAAGGCTCTGAAGATCTCAAAGAAGGGTTCTTGATCAGTTCAGGGCATGGACTTCTTTGCATATCCGATGAAGTTTATGGGCCCCTTCCCAGGACAATGCTTTTAAGTGCTTAAGATAATATACATAGGATTACATAGGAAAAGAATTATATTACAATATATTATTAAATTTATCAAAACCCCAAACAGTTGAAGTATTAACAGATTTTTTTTTTTTTTATTAATTCGTTAAAGTCAAAGGTTGCCCTAGTGAGCAAGAATTACCACAGTGTAGTAGGAATGACATGTCTAAATAGTTATTGGAAACACTGAGAGCCTAAGCCGCCCGGGGTTATGCACAAGCCCAGGGCCCGCCCATCACCCTGGTTGCTGCCTCTAGTCATAAATGCAGGAAATGCTAAGGTTCAGTTGGGGGATAGTAGAGATGGAATTTTTGTTCTATACAAGTTCCTAGATGCCTTGCATCCTGTCACGGTTTCCAAGGGAAGAACCCCAGTCAGGAATTTGTCCCCATGCACCATAAACTCAGAAAACAGCTTTGATGAACTAGGTCCTCCTCACGAGACCCTGGAGGAGAGGCCAGATCTCGGCAATTCAACTGGAACTCCTCAATGAGGAGTGTTTATTATTTCAAGGAGTTCTCGAAAGAAAGTTGTGCAAACTAGGATGCTCCGTTAGGCTCAGCAGTTTAGAGGGGTGACCACGGAGGGGAGGAGCTGAGAGCATAATGTTGAGTGAGTGTTTATTTGCAGATAGTAAAGACTTTTTTACATGGATTATCCCTTTTAAACTCCAGTGCTCTGTAACTTAGACTTTCTTGTACATTTGAAAAGAAAACCCGAGTCCCGCCTGCCCCAGGTCCTAGGGCCGCCCAGGCCGCTGGCTGTCCCCAGAGCTTGGCTCTAGGCTCTGCGGACGGCTGCAGCATAGAACGCGGCGGCGGAAACCGCGCGGGCCCTGAGCTGTGCCTAACTAAGCACACGCTCAAAGCACCAACGTGAGGCTCACAGCAGAGCACGGTTCTCATCACTTTGGGACACACGCATTTACCAACGTTCAGCGCAGCCTTCAGCGAGGTTGGACCTGCTTTGGCTTTGAAACGCGGAACGTTATACTGAGTCCCCCCCGTAGGGCTGCATCCCAGCGAGCCTTCCTTAGGGAACCAGACATCGATCTCTCGGTAAGACACAGGGAACCTTAGCAACAGAGCTACGATTAGCTTCAGAGTTTATTTCCAGCGTCTCCTACGGACAACGGCGAGTAGTAACTAGAGACTTCGGGGGTTGTCCGGGAGCTGGGAAGGACAACGGAGGCTTCTCTGCGAAAGGCGTGCGCGTGGGTGCCCCGCGTAGTGGCTGCGGGGGTTGCAAGCACACGCCGCACGGACGACTCTACGGGAGGATTTGGGGGATGACTCCCCGCCCCCACCCGGGACGGGCTATTGCTTCGGGCGCCCCGCCTGCCGGGTGCGCAGAGCGGCGAGCAAAGGCGGACGAGGCAATGGGCGGGAACTGGGGGTGGTTACCGCCCCTTTGCTCGCGGTTTTCAAACAGGTCCGTCTCGTTGCTACAAAAGGGCTGAGTGGCGCCGCGGCCCGCAGTGCCTGGCCGGTTTCGGAGACTGTTGTTCGCGATGTCGGGCCGCGGCAAGGGCGGGAAGGGCCTGGGCAAGGGCGGCGCCAAGCGCCACCGCAAGGTGCTGCGCGACAACATCCAGGGCATCACCAAGCCCGCCATCCGGCGGCTGGCCCGGCGCGGCGGCGTCAAGCGCATCTCCGGCCTCATCTACGAGGAGACCCGCGGGGTGCTCAAGGTGTTCCTGGAGAACGTGATCCGGGACGCCGTCACCTACACGGAGCATGCCAAGCGCAAGACGGTCACGGCCATGGACGTGGTCTACGCGCTCAAGCGCCAGGGCCGCACCCTCTACGGCTTCGGGGGCTGAGCGTTCCCATCTTCCCCCCCGGAACACCGCGATTCTCAACCAAAGGCCCTTTTCAGGGCCACCCATCTCGTCTTCCAAAAGAGTTGTTTACCTCCTAGTGTTCAGTAGTTTCTAATACTTGGCAGACGTTTTTGCAGTTCTTGGGATACGGTTTGCTACTGTGTTTCTGCATTTTTCGTTTTTCGAAGATCAGAAGTTTGTACTAAAGGTTCATGTGGATCCATGTGGTTTTTGCGTCTTAAGGGGTCCTCTTACACAGCTGTTTTCAGCCTGAAACCGGAAGGACCTGTCCACATGCAGATTTAGTTTTCTCCAGTGTTTGTGTTGGCTCGAAATGGCGAATGATCTTGTACTGAATACAAGGCCATGTAATGTTCAGTTAACAGGTGAGAATACTGCTGACTCTGCCACGTTCCGGGGAGTGCGTGACTGGTCTTTCAGATTCCACCTCTACGGGTCAGAAAAAAATGCTAAGTTCTCAAGTGGGTTGCTCGTTCTGTCAGTTTATCATCTCAGACCGGCAACTTTGCCAGTGTATACTTACTTCCCTGTGATCACAATGGGTTTGGTTTTCTGAAGAATCGGGGGGGAGGGGGTTATTTCGCTGTAGACTGGCCATTTTCCAATAAAATTTGTTCACTGGAACGTAAAGGCATAGCTAAATTGATGGGTCTTTAGTCTTAGGCAACATGTCCTGGCTTTGTCCGACAGCAGACATAAGAATGTAGCTAAGATCTCTTGGAAGTCAGCAGAAGTCACTCCCAGGTCTGGGCTTTAAGACCTTTCCTCTTCCTACCAGATAAGGTGATCTTGTTTGACCTAGCAGGGACATCAGGTCCCATGGGACAGCAGAACAATGACTTGGAGGACAGAGTCCTGGACTGATCAGGAGGAGCAGAGTTGCCCCCCTCAGAGCTGGATTAATTACAGTGGATCTGTCCTGTATGACACGAATAACTGTCTTTAGGCTAATTTATTGTTGAATCTCTGTTATAGCAACTTAATTTTACAAACCAAATGAGTTTTTTCCCCCCTCAATTTATGTAGCAGTGTGGACAATCCCTTTGTTGAACTGAAACTGCTTTTAAGGAAAGATGATTCCAAATGGGCCTCTGGTCTTGGTATCTGCCCTGCTGTGTTCCATTCTGGACAGAACACAGGGTCGGGGCTCATGACATGTTAGAAACACATGCGCGGACGGTCCATATGTCTTATGCAGTTGTAATCTGGATATTTCAAGGTATTGTCTCCCTTTGGTAGAGTTGATCTTAACAATAAGTGGATCACAAACTCCTTTGAGGATGTGTTAGAAAATATGCCTGTGGACATAGACATTTGATGAGGCTCATGTTCCCTCTGAGGCTCATTCCAGGAACTCCCAGGGCTTCATGGATTCCTGTCAATAACCTGGAGTCTGGATTTCAGGGTCTGAGATATAGATATTCAAAATGTAAGAGAGTAAAGGACAGACATATTACAGAAAGAACACATTGAACAAGAATAATTTGTCACTGTTTATTCACTGTGGGCAGTAGACCTATATATTCAGGAGAAGGTAGATGAAGTCTTAACACTTTGAAAATCAGAATGCATGATAGATAGCCCAATTTGAGAAACTTTGATTCTCAGAGGTCTGAAAGTCCTTCTGACTCAATCTCACATGATTTAGGAGTAAATAAAAACAGTGAGGGGTTTATTTTCAGCCTGATTCAGGAAGAAGTCCATGAATTTTTCTTAAGGCCCAAGGAACCTGTCTTCCATCACCAGTCTTGTAAATATACTAACAAGTTCTAAGTATGTAATAGTCTATGTCATTGAGCAAACCATAGATTACGTTTACAAGTTCCCAATAGCCCCTAAGAGATAAAAAAAGAAACTGGAAACCTTGTACAGAGGGATGCTTAGTCTTTGTGTTTGTCTTTGTTCAGGTCACTTAACCTCTCTGTGTCTCTGTTTTCCCATCTGTAAAATGGGGATAACGGTAATATCTACCTTAGGTTTGGGGTGAATAAAATAAAATATTTGGTACTAAGCATTTTGTCCAGTACATGGCACATGGTAAAGGGTTTATGTTTTCTCTTTCATTATTATTGCTCTATTATCGTTATTCCTCATGAAATTAGAGAGGCCCAGATAAAAAGACAGGGACTTTTAAACCATGAAGACATAGTCTTGAAGTCCCAAACTGCCATTTTCTATTTTTGTGGTCTGTGGCAAATCACTACTAACTGCTTCTATCTTCTGTAATGCGGGAGAAGCTTCATATTTTTGTGAGGATTGAGTGAGACCACTCAGGGTAAATAATATGATCACAGTATATGTTCAACAATATGAGTTACATATATTCATAAGAAGTTGCCAGTATACGAATGAAAGTTTTGTGGATGCAACCATAAAAACTCAATTGCAGATAATTTAAGAGAAAAAAAAAAGTCTCTTGAAAGAGGAGTTCCCTGACCACTCTGAAGAAATCGCTGGGTTCTCAGGCCTTTCTCTTCTGTCCCTTTCCCTGGTTTCTCGGATAGTACATCTGCTAGATCCAGCTGGGCAGATGCTAGCTCCAATCAGACATGATGGCCCAAGAGAAAGGGTGACAACGTGGGAACTCTTGGGACCCAGGGAAGAGGCAACAATCCTGAGCCCTGAAATGTCCCATATCTGGGTTGCCCTTTAGTACCTGTACCCTGAATTCGCAGTGAGTTCCATTTACTACATCTAAATGTTCCATGTGTTCTCATCTCAGTAACATCACAGTAGGTTGTCCTCGTCCTCCTTCCTGAAACACTATTTTCTTGACTTCTGTGACTCTACTCCCCTTGGTTTCTACCTCACCATTTAGAATATTCGGCTGTCTTCTTTCTCTCTGAAGTTTGGAATGCTTCTTTCTTCTTTCTCCTTGGGAAAATTCCAATTTCACTGCATGCCAACAACAGTAAAATTTCTATTTTCAAACTCTCCAAAATTTCTGTGTTCAGTCCCCAAGTTGTTCTGATTTCCAGACTCACATGTACAACAACGCACTTGACCCTCCGATGGAATGCTTAAGGGGATTTAAACATTGTCATGTCCCAGCCTCTGAAACCTCATCCTGTCCTATTATTCTGCATCATTCATCCAAGAATTTCAGCAGCGCTTGTAAGGTGTGGGTAGGCATACAACCTGGAGACACATCGTCTGGCTTTAACCTCAGCTCCACACCTTGCTCATCCCTAGTCAACTAGAAGACAGAATAGTTGTGTCTAGATACTGTGGATGTTGACAGGACGAAGTGAGCTAGCCTTTGGAAAGAGTTTGGCACAATCTCTTAAACACATGTAAAGTGCTCAATAAATGTCAGCTACATGTCTCTTCACCCATGAAACCCGGTTCATAAAGAAATTCTTTGGACTTTCTCTTCCCAGAGGACTTATAATAATTTCACCAGGATTATTGCAATAACCTTTCCATTCTTTCTTCTGCTTGTTTTTATCTTTAATCCCACAAATACCATTTTCCACACAGCAGCCTGAGTGCTTTCAAATTCTAAGAGTTTCTCAGGACACAATAAAAATCTGGATGCCTTCTTTGGCCCATAAGGTCCAACATGTTCAGGCATCCATTTAAGCCCCAGCCCTGTCTCTTACTTAACACCTTACCTTTGCTTACAAGGCTTCCAGCTCACAGCACTTCCAACCTTGAGCACAAACTCCTCCCTGCCCTAGAGCTTTGTTGTACCATCAGTCCCTTGGCCTGGAATTTGTATCCCCAAATGAGGGTCGTTGGTTCCCTCATCAGGAGCATCACCTAGTCAGCATCAGGGCACCTGTTTTAGTTCCAATAATTTCATAGCAGTGAGAACTCCTATTTGAAATGAGGGAGTTGAGGAATCAGTGTGTCTATGATCTCTCCTCTCCCACTAGGATCTCAGCCCCTGAGAGCAGTCTCTTGTCTGTCATGCTTACTGCTCTAGCTTAATGCCTCACACAGAGGAAATCATCAGTATTTGACAAAAAAAGGCATTGCTTCAACTGTCCTCTGATTTTTCTTTCTTCATTTTTTAAAAATGATTTTATTTATTTATTAGGGGCAGGGGGTGACAGAGGGAGAGGGCAAAGCAGACTTCCTGCTGAGCAGGGAGCCCAAAGCGGGGCTCCATCCCAGGACCCTGAGATCATGACCTGAGCCGAAGGCAGACACTTAACCGACTGAGCGGCCCAGGTGCGCCTGGCTTTGCTTTCCTCATATCCCATAACCTCATCTTTACCACCAGAAACGTCCACACAGGAAGGGGCTTTGGTTAGCTTGTTCTCCATGTATCAGACATTCTCGAAGCTTAGTAGCCAGAACAGCATTTGTATCTGTGGGAACTTGTTAGAAAGCCAAGTTCCCAGATTTCCCCCAGAGGTGATGAGACAGAAACCCTGGGAGTGGGGCAGCAAGCTGTCCTCTAACAAGCCTCCAGGTGCTTTCGATGCACACTCAGTTAGAAGCACTGCTCCGTATCCTCAGGACATGATTCCGTGCTTGCCACTTGAGTATGAATGAACCAGATGGATGCTCCTTCTTTCTGCCTAGAAGGCCTGGGTATCAGGCAGGGAGGGCCACTTCCCCTCCTTCTTCCTAAGAGCCTCAGTTTCATTCCAGTCTCCCCCTCCTCATTGCCTTGTGCTCCAGGGAAGGAGACTTTCCTTCTAGTCTCAGGGATCAGGTCCTGATTCTACCACACTAGTCCTGAGGGTCCCAGCCTCTTAGTAATGATTAGTTTGGGGCTGGGAATACAGCCAGTTCTTTGTGGCTCTGAGAGTCTTTAACAGTGCAGATCAGCTTCCCCAATAACGTTTTGATTGAGCTGAAAAGTGAGTTGTTGATTTAAGAAAACTGTGTGTGTGCGTGTGTGTTGGGGATAAGGGCGGAATCAGGGGCACTTCAGGAAGAGAATATTTGCAAAGGCCTGGAGGCTGGAGAGGTCTCGGAGAATTCCAAAAAGTGTGAAAAAGCAAAAAATGAAACAAGCATAGGAGAAACAAAGAACAGGAGGAAAAGAATTCTCTGAGGTTTGGTGTGAGTTTTCTGTAAGGGGTAGGCTACAGCCCTTGATTTCTGATTTTGTGCAGTAGGGGGATCACTGGGAGGCACTGAGAAGAATCATGCATGATCAGGTATGCTTTCTGACACAACTGCTCTCCCTGTGGAATGAAAAGTAGATTCACTATGGACAGAGGAGTTTTACTACCATCTCAAACTGAAATCAAGATGATCAGAAAGAGTTGAAGTGCAGCTGTAATTTGGCAGCCTGAAAACAGATTGTTTCTTGGTGATTATTTTGCCTTTTTGAGAGAATAGAGGGAGACTAGACAGACTGGCTGGAAGGCTGGCTCTGAGTTTCTGGAGGACAGAGTTAGCTATTCTAGGGTGCATTTGGATTTCCATTTACAGGTGAGGTGCCGGCAACCCAATCTTTCTCACTTAAGTTCCAGAAAGAAGCCCCTTTGTCACAGTGCCTGGAGAAATGAGGGAAGGAGACAAATCTTGCTTTTAAGTTTCAGGGTTTAGGCTCTTTAGCATCGTGTGATCACAAACCAGAGCCTTTCAGACCTTGGCGTCCAGCATCAGAATGTTAACACTCACGTGCTGAGTGCACATTTCCTGCTCTCCACCCTCTGACCCACCCTGGGTCCCTGTCTTTTTCTGTGGGACCTCCCCACACACAGCTGCTCAACGGAGCTGGGGGGCCAGAGCTGGAGACAGGACAGGTGAACGGCTTGGAAGGAGACCCGCAAGTGACATGAAAGGGCGGACTGGGGGCTGCGGAGCCGGCCTTCTTATTCCGGGGCTGCACTAGGGAGGAGACTGTGGCGGGTCATCTGCGAGTCAGACGGGAGAGGGGGAGACGAATGCATTCTTCACTAACAACCAAGTGTAGTGACGATCGCCTTTTCAGGGCAGCTTAAGAAGGAAAGCGACAAGGCACGATGAACAAGTGGTCAGAACCTCAGTGTCCTTCCCGGAGAGCTGCAGCCGCCAGCACACATTTTAAAGACCGTAACAGACGCTCAGCCAGGGCTCTAACGGCCCCGGGAAGCGGGCGGGCGAGGGGGAGGGGAGGATCGCAGCGACACAAAGAACCCGGGGCGCGAGCCTGGCGGCACCGGAAGCCAAAGTCCCGCTTTTCGCCGGCGGGCTTTTCAAATGTCACGCTGGCTGCGTACACTCCGTAGGGGGGACACTCGGCAAAAGGCGGAGCCCGGACACTCCGCGGCCGTTTTAGGAGCTTCTAGAGTCGGCGCCAGCAGCCAGCGCGCCCGAGGAAACGTTCGCGAAGGGGCGCAGGAGCCCCGCGGGCTGGGGGAGAGAGCGCTCGCCGGCCCGGTGCGCGTTCGTTCCCGCGCCTGGGGCCCTCGCCACGCACCGGTCACGGCTGTCAGAGCCACAGGCAGGGAGCGTCGCCCCCGAGAACGGGCGACCGAGTCCCCAGGGTCTCCCCACTAACCTGAGTGAACGCCAAGCCCAGGCCGCAGCGCGCGGCAGTGCGCAGCTCTGCTGGTGAAACTATGTGGCTCTGAAAAGAGCCTTTGGGTTGCGGTCGGCTGCAGGCGGGCTCACTTGGAGCTGGTGTACTTGGTGACGGCCTTGGTGCCCTCGGACACGGCGTGCTTGGCCAGCTCCCCGGGCAGCAGCAGGCGCACGGCCGTCTGGATCTCCCGCGACGTGATGGTCGAGCGCTTGTTGTAATGCGCCAGGCGGGACGCCTCGCCCGCGATGCGCTCGAAGATGTCGTTGACGAACGAGTTCATGATGCCCATGGCCTTGGACGAGATGCCCGTGTCGGGGTGCACCTGCTTCAGCACCTTGTACACGTACACCGAGTAGCTCTCCTTGCGGCTGCGCTTGCGCTTCTTGCCGTCCTTCTTCTGCGCCTTGGTCACCGCCTTCTTGGACCCCTTCTTCGGCGCCGGGGCCGACTTGGCGGGCTCGGGCATCCTGACTGCGCTTTCTCCTGGCAGAACAGAAAATGGAGTCCGACTCCAGGTCCTGCCTATTTGTAGGCAACCCTATGCAAATGAGGAATGCGCTTTGCGACCGCTGATTCGTCGACTAGTGGTGTGGCCTGCAGGCTCATGATTGGCTCGAGCTCTACTCTCCCATTGGTCATAGCCTGAGAGCAGTTTCCCCCTTTCAGGGCGATTTCTTCAGTTAACCTTGTAACAGGTTTAGATTATTAACGTTTCAGGTTATTATGGTGATTAATTTTAGAAACTAGAATTTGCTCTCCCTTGTGTTTTGAATTGCCAAAGAAGCAACGCTCAGGCCTAGGTCACGTCTCCGATTTGCAAGTCCCCTGTACAGCTGCTGGAAAACCTGTGTTTTTACGTTTGATTCGGGGTTCTAGACCAGTGAAAGAGAGGTGATGAAGTGGCTGTCTGCCCGACAGGGAACTCTAGACACACTGTCCATCAGAAAAGTTCTGAATTGAGGGGAAGTGACCAAGGTCTTCACTTCTGCTTGCTCAGTGATGGAGCAGGGGCTGACCTAAGACCAGAGTGACCTCAGATGGACCCCTGAGCTGGACCCTAACGAAGCTCATCACTGGAGGCCATTAGATAACCACACACCTTACAGCTGGCCAGCGAGTCCTTTCTTGAAGGAAGCCCTCAGCTCCCTGTCTGTCATAGCTTTATTTAAGAGAGTTTTAAAAATATTTTATTTATTCATTTGAGATCGAGAGAGCACAAGGGGCTCGATCCTAGGACCTGGAGATCATGACCGAAGGCAGATGCTTAACCGTCTGAGCCACCCAGACGCCCCTTTTTAAAACAGTTAAATAATAAAGGGACTATTTACAATGTTGTGAGCAGGGTTAAGGGATACCACCAAGGAATGGTGGAGGGCGCTGGCTGTTACTCCTAGTTCAGAAGAGGCAAGACAAGAGCAGGCTTCGAGGAGAGCAGTGAGGATGGGAGAGGGCTGCTCAACAGGAGCTGTGGCTTTTGTGACAGAAAGGTAGTCTCTGCCCAGTTTTGTAGGAGGGGAGCCAAGCAGAATAAATACTTTAGTCTCATTTTTTCCCCACCCTCAGATGTCTTGTGGGTTCCTCTCAGAAACCAGAGAGTAAAGAAACATGGTTGATGCCATGCACAAGGCAGGTCACAAAATATCCTGAGCCTTTCAAGGTGCGTATCTAAAGTAGCAAAGATTGAGATTTTGTACAATTAAAAAAAAAAGTTTACCTCCTCTTTATAATTGTTTTACTATTTTTTGCTATTTCTTTTTCAGCCCCTGAAGTTAGTTCATGAGCACTGGATTATCTTTAGAGCTGCAAACTTTTAAACATGCTTTGTTGCTCTCCCTGCCATTGCCCAGCTTGGTCCAATGCTACCTTTTTTTATACAAAACTTCCTCTGAGATATTCTTGAAAAAAAATTTTTTTTAAAGACTTGTTTATTTGAGAGAGAGAGCAGGGTGAGAGGCAAAGGGAGATGGGGGGAGAAAATATCAAGTGGACTCCTTGCTGAGTGCAGAGCCCCACGCAGGGCTGGATCCCAAAACCCTGAGATCTTGTCCTGAGCCGAATTCAAGAGTCAGGTGCTTAACCTACTGAGCCACCCAAGCAACCCTGAGTTTTCTTAATTATAGCCTGATACAACCCCACTTTCCTTTGCTGGCCTGAATCCTGGAATAGTCTCATTTCCCATTGACCCTTGGTCTCCAGTTAATTTAATCAGCTTTCTTTCTTTTTTTCCCCCCCAGTAAGGCCTGGCTACTCACATTATGGTCACTGAACCACCACCAGCAAGTCCTGTGAGAGCTCCACCCCAGAGCTACAGATCAGATTGAATCTTAACCGAATCCCCAGGTAATCTGGGTGCACAGTACTGTGTGCGAAGCACTATTCTAGGGAGCTGTCCATATGGTTGCTCGTTATCTTCACCCATGCGGAGTGGCCCCATAAAATAAATGGGCATATTTTATTACTAGATTCCCTTTCCCATATTTTTAAAAAAACTCACCCTTTTTAATTCTTTGTCTAGGATCACTTGTTATTTATCAGTTTATCTTAGCTTTGCCATTAGTTTTGTTAGTTAAATTAGCTTTACCAATGACGAAGGGTAATTGGAAGGCAGGCAGGCAGGGACGAGGGGCCCCCTCCCTAAGAGGAAACCACCCTTAAAAGTATTTTACACCACCCTGGAAGGAGTCCTCCACCCTTTCCCATATGATAGATAGGTGACAAAAGTCTGATTGGATGACAGGCGCAGGGAGGGTTAATCAGATTGAAACAGCTTGCCAACAAGCCCATAAAAACCCCTAGACTTAGAAACGCTGGTGGCGGCCCCTTCGGGTCCCCTCCCTCCTCGGGAGCTTTGTACTATCACTTTGCTGTCGCTCAATAAACCTTGCTTTGCTGCCCACCACTCTGTCTGGTCTACCTCTTCATTCTTCCAAGCGGCGTGACCAAGAACCGTGGGCACGATGGAGAAAAATCCTGCAACACCAATACTACCTCTTTATTAATTTACTATTTGAAAATCTTATATATATTTTTATTATGGGTAAAGTTGAAAACCACAGACTGAAAACTAGCACTGTACTGCCACCTAACATATGCAGTCATTTTAGGAGTGATGATTTCTCTAACTGTACTCAAAATTTCTTCCTCCCCATAAGATTTGACTCTGAAGAGGGCATCTCTTTTTACAAATATGTGATCATTTTTGACACATTGCCTGGAAACACGAGACCTTTGTGGTCTAATTTATTTCCAATTCAGGACAAACATGAATAACAAAATAAGAGCAGCAAGTCAATAGTACCAGACCATTTGCCCCACAAGTGTAACCATTGGGTTTATAGGATTTAAATCATGGGTCTAGGGGCGCCTGGGTGGCTCAGTCGTTAAGCGTCTGCCTTTGGCTCAGGTCATGATCCCAGTATCCTGGGATGGAGCCCCGCATCTGGGTCCCTGCTCAGCGGGAAGCCTGCTTCTCCCTCTCCCGCTCCCCCTGCTTGTGTTCCCTCTCTCGCTGTGTCTCGCTCTGTCAAATAAATAAATAAAATCTTAAAAAAAAATAAAAAAATAAAAAGGCATTAAAAAAATTAAAAAAATAAATCAATCATGGGTCTAATGGACCCAGCCACTAAATTAAATGTGTGAACCTGAACAGATAGATACTAAAAGTAGTGAGGATTGACTCAAACTGCCATGTTCATTCCACGCCTACATGAATTTAGTGAAACACAAACAGTATGTAATGCAAACAAAATAATCCAAGAGTTGTGTTAAAAACACAGATTGAGATTTTGTAAGGAAAGACTTTTGGGGAAAGGATTACTGACAGGGTGAGAGGGGCTATTGCAATAGGGAAGTGGTGACCATTGCATCAGATCTGCAAGCTCCTGCAAGGTTAGGCAAAAGGGATTTTTTTGATAGGGAAGAGTAAACAAGACTAGAAAGAACCTGAGTATAGGAAGGTGGGTTGAAAAAGTGCCCTGATCAGAGAATGTGAGATAGAGAGCAAATCAGAGAATGTTTTACCCTGAGGCTAGCCAGTTCTCAGGAGGGACCCTTAGAAGGCTGAGGGTGGGTCAAAGCTCAGGGCCTGGGGGATGGGAAAATGTCACTGAGGTTTGGTGGACAAGCATATTGTTTCTGGTTTTTTTTTTTAAAGATTTTATTCACTTATTTGAGAGAGAAAGTATGAGAGAGAGAAACCACAAGAGGGGGGAGGGTCAGGGGGAGAAGCTTACTCCCCACTAAGCAGGAAGCCTGATGCGGGACTCGATCCCAGGACTCCAGGATCATGACCGGAGCTGAAGGCAGTCGCCTAACCGACTGAGCCACCCAGGCGCCCCAACAAGTATATTGTTCTGATCAGTGAATGAGGACAAGCAGTTCAGCTAATTGTTTGAGGCAAAGAATGGGAATTTGAGGGTCTGTGTCTGGCCTTGTCATAGGTAAACAAAAAGTTCCTCCTTGAGTGTTACCTACGTCATAGGGGAAAATGCGGTTCCTTGCAGCAAATTGTTCTTGGAGTACAAAGGCGCAGGGGTATTCCTCTACCCATTGCTGTTTTCCAGGATCACAAGGCTCAGATAAAGGTCAGTACTGTCAGTTACGATTGATGACATCTCATTTAAATCTTGCTGGGTCTGATTTTAAAAAAGAAATTAAAAACGTAAAAATATTAAACACATTTGGTTTTAATGTAATTTGAGATGAAATTACTGAAATATAATAATTATGATAGAAATATATGTTGGATAACATGAAAACTGTGCCCACAGAGCTCCTGAATCCCAGTTGTTCTAAACCCCTTGGGGCAGTGATCATTCGATGAGGAGGCATTTCTTGGGCCACAGATCATTAACTTAAAAGCAAAATCGACAAGCATGCTTTTAAATAAGTGTATTTCTCTGGTGGACTTATTCCCCATAAAAATTCTCTCCAGATGGTGATTTTTTTTCTTTTTTTAGGTTTACATAAAATGTAACTCCAAAATAATGGTAGATATAAACTTACATGTAATATTTTTTAGTTGTTTCTCTATGTGATTGTGGTCTCATGGAAGTTTTACAAGTTTTCCTTTGCCTTTCTCAGAAAAGCATTGTTGGAGTTCTGGAATATGTACAATATTTTATCTTTTTATGATGTTTACCACATTTTTATACAAAACGTGCATTAGAAAGTGCTCCTTTTGAGTCTGAAAAAAATCATGCATGGATTTAAAAAATAATAATAAAGAAAAAATAAGGATGAGGGGAACAGCAAGTATAGCAGTATTAATACTAAACAAATTTTAAGGCTCAAAGTAGTAGTGGGGATAGAGAGGGGCACTGTAAGGACTTTTGTTCCAGTGTGGACAACAAGATATTCTGGAAAGCTGTCTTGAAGTATAATAGCTAAGGACTCGATAAACAACAAACACACCCTAGCACACAATGGCCCAGATAACAAGAAGCCAAGGAAAACTCCCCAAATCTCCCAGAACAATACACACCTAGGAGCTGAAGCCTGACTAATAAACACAGCAGATTGGGTTCCCTGGGGGCAAATGTCATTAAGATTCTGCACTTTGTCAATTAATGGCAGCCTCTTGGGGAAAAGAGGGTTCTAGGCCTTTCAACTGAACTGGAGACACCTAGCATAGAGCCAGGGCTCTGGAGAAAACACAAGCTTTCGGGGGCGGGGAGAATCTAGCAAAGATCCCTAACAAGAAAACCCGTTGATCTCTGCAGGGCTCCATGGAGGAGGGCAGAGGAAATTTGCCACAAGGATTTCACCACAGACCTACTTAGAGTCTATAGAATTTCCATGAAAGCTTCCTAAAATTGAAATGCCTTGGGTTTGTGCGCCCTCTAGTGCTTCCTAAAGGCAAACTTAAACCCCTTCAGGAGGGAAGCATCTTGAACCCAAGTTCTGTACATACAGATTAATTTTTTTTTATTCAGAAATTGTTTCTTGAGCACATATTACATGTCAGGCACCTCCTAGGAATTTGGGGTGTCCAAATATAAACTCATAATAAATGTGACCTAATCTCGGAGGAAAACACTTTAAAGAGTCAGCCTTCCAAATGAAAAAGAGCCTTAGATCTCCTCTCCCTCAAAGAATTTCAGATATTGAAGTTACCAGATAGAGACTATAAAATATTTACTGAAATCTTAAGGAAATAAAAATGAAATAATACAGTCAAGGAGCAAGGGACATTCCAAACTGGGCGTATCAAAAAAAGAAAAAAAAAAACGAAAGAGAACTTTTTTTTTTTAAAAGCACTTTTTTTTAAAAGATTTTATTTATTTATTTATTTGAGAGAGAGAGAATGAGAGAGAGCAAGCACATGAGAGGGGGGAGGGTCAGAGGGAGAAGCAGACTCCCTGCCAAGCAGGGAGCCCGATGCGGGACTCGATCCAGGGACTCCAGGATCATGACCTGAGCCAAAGGCAGTCGCTTAACCAACTGAGCCACCCAGGCGCCCAAGATTTTATTTATTTATTTGACAGAGACAGAGCTAGCGAGAGCAGGAACACAAGCAGCGGGAGTGGGAAAGGGAGAAGCAGGCTTCCCCTCGAGGAGGGAGCCCGATGTGGGACTCGATCCCAGGACCCTGGGATCATGACCTGAGCCGAAGGCAAACGCTTAACGACTGAGCCACCCAAGCAACCCGAAAGAGAACTTCTAAAACTGAAAATAGCTGTACTCCATAATAATAAAATAAAAATCCACTGATAAGATGTAGCATTTAGGGCCTTGAGGCACCTGATCACATAGCCATTATGTATGGCAGTAACTTCCAGAATTAGTAGAAGAACTTCAAGTTTACAACTGTAGGGCAAGCTTTCAATATACTACTCTCAGAAATTCATATAGTAACCAAGGAAAATGTTTATGGTTATAGAAGATTGAACAACACCATGAACTAATTTCATTAATCCATGATTCCTTCACTTAACACATAGAGAGTATCTGAAATTTTCAAAGTACACACTTAATTTCAAATTTTCAACACTGGCTTCAGAAAAAGTAACAATACATACCAAAAAATCGGTTTCATATATACTGCACTCTTTTATCATAATCTAACTAAAGGGCAATAGAAAGGATTTTTTTAAAGATAGTAAAAATAAAACAATCTTCTCATATGCTCGGAAACTAAAAGCACACTTCTAAATACATAGATTATAATGGACATCATCAAAGAAAGTATGCATTAGAAATACCAATGAATAGACTTAACCAAGGAGGCGAAAGACCTATACTCTGAAAACTATAAATCATTGATGAAGGAAATCGAAGATGACACACACAAATGGAAATACATTCCATGCTCATGGATTGGAGGAATTGTTGTTAAATTGTCCATACTACTCAAAGCAATCTACAGAGTCACTGCAATTCTTGAAAAGTACTAACAGTAATTTTCACAGAACTAGGATAAATAATCTTAAAATGTGTATAGACCCACAAAGGACCTCAAATAGCCAAAGCAATCTTGAGAAAGAAGAACAAAGCTGGAAGTGTCAAAATCTCAGATTTCAAGAAATTCTACAGAGCTATAATAATCAAAACAGTAGGGCGCCTGGGTGGCTCAGTTGGTTAAGCGACTGCCTTCGGCTCAGGTCATGATCCTGGAGTCCCTGGATCGAGTCCCGCATCGGGCTCCCTGCTCGGCAGGGAGTCTGCTTCTCCTTCTCACCCTCCCCCCTCTCATGTGCTCTCTCTCATTCTCTCTCAATTAAATAAATAAAATCTTTAAAAAAAAAAAAAAATCTAAACAGTATGGTCTTGGCACAAAATTAGATCAATGGAACTGGATAAAGAGCTCAGAAATAAACCAAAATTTTATGATATTGATAAGGAAAAATCTGTGTCCTAAGATGGCGAATGGAGCCAGCAGGAGAGTCCCAGTCCTTGCCTCAGGGCTCTTCCGGGTTCTTCTCCCTGCTCTGCTTCATGCACACCCCAAAAGTGCCAAGGATGTGGAAGTGGAAGTGAATAAATTGCCCCCTTTGTGCTCGGGGCTCAGACCTTTGGAGACCACTCTCCTATGAGCCTGCTGCCTTTAAATAAAACCTCCTATCCTCCAAGATCTCCGGGTCCCGCTTGGTTCTTCCGTCGGGCGATCCAATCCAGGTTCCCGAACAATATAATTAATCTAAGAAAAGGAGGCAAGATGGGGAAATGACTCTTTTTTTCAATAAATGTTGCTGGGAAAACTGGAGAGCTACATACAAAAGAATGAAAGTGGGCTACTTTCTTATACCATATACCAAAATAAACTAAAAATGGATTATAGACCTAAATGTGAGACCTGAAACCTTAAAACTCTTAGAAGAAAACATAGGCAGTAATCTCTTTGACAATCTCTGTTTGCCTTAACAACATTTTTCTAGCCATGTCTCCTCAGGCCAGGAAAACAAAAGCAAAAATAAACTGTTGGGACTACACCTAAATAAAAGGCTTTTGCACAGAGGAGGTAACCAACAACAGAATGAAAAGGCAGCCTGCTGAATGGGAGAAGATACTTGCAAATGGAATGTCTGATAAAGTGTTAATATCCAAAATATATAAAGAACTTACACAACTCAACACAAATAATAAAAATAAGATTGAAAAATGGGCAGGTGACTTGTATAGGCATTTTCCAATGAAGACATACAAATGGCCAACAGACACGTGAAAAGATGCTCAAATCACTAATTATCAGGGAAATGCAAATCAAAACCAGAATGAGATATTGCCTTACACCTGTCAGAATGCCTAAAACAAAAAAGGGAAATAACTAGTGTTGAAGATATGGAGAAAAATGAACCCTCATGCTGTTGGTGGGAATGTAAATTAGCATAGCCACTGTGAAAAACAGCATGGAGTTTCCTCCAAAAATTAAAAATAGAAATACCATATGGTATAGTAATTACACTACTATTTACCCAAGAAAACAAAAACACTGATTAGGAATGATATATAGAGGGGCGCCTGGGTGGCTCAGTCGTTAAGCGTCTGCATTCGGCTCAGGTCATGATCCCAGGGTCCTGGGATCGAGCCCCGCATCGGGCTCCCTGCTCGCCGGGAAGCCCGCTTCTCCCTCTCCCACTCCCCCTGCTTGTGTTCCCTCTCTCGCTGTGTCTCTCTCTGTCAAAAAATAAATAAAATCTTAAAAAAAAAAAAAAAAAGGAGATATATACACCCTTATATTTATTTTAGCATTATTTACAATAGCCAAGATATGGAAGCAACCTGTGTCCATCAATAGATGAATGGATAAAAAAAATGTGGAGTGTGTATATATATGTGTGGAGTGTGTCCATATATAGAATGTAATATTAGCCATAACAAAGAATGAGATCTTGCCATTTGTGACAACATGATGGATGGATGGACCTAGAGGGTATTATGCTAAGTGAAATAAGCCAGACAGAGAAAGACAAATATCATATGATTTCACTCAGATGCGAATTAAACATAACAAATGAACAAACAATGAAACAAAAAAGCAGAAACAGACCTATAAATACAGAGAACTGATGGTTGCCAGAGGGGAGGAAAGTCGGGGGATGGGCAAAATGGGTAAAGGGGAGGGGGAGGAACAGGCTTCCAGTTGTGGAATCGATAATTTCGGTTGCAAGGTACGGCATAGGGAATATAGCCAGTGGTATTGTAATGTAATAGCTTGCATGCTGACAGATAGTAAACATAGCACAATGTATAGACAATGTATAGACTTGCCAAATCACTATGTTGTTAAAAAAATAACTAAAAATGAAACAATCTTCTCAAATGCTTGGAAACTAAAAGCACACTTCTAAACACATGGATTAGAATGGATATCATAAGGGAAGCTATGTAATGTTTTGAGATAAATATGAATGAGAATAATACATATAAAGATTGTAGAATATATTTGTAGTGGTACCAAAAGGGAAATATATAATATCAAATGCATATGTTAAGGAACAAGAAACACTGAAGATATGTAAACTAGATATTCAACTAAAAAAGCTAGAATAAAAATGGGAGTAGATTGAGAATTGGACTTAGAATCCTTAGAATCTGTTGTACTGTTGTGAATGATGTCTGGCTTTTCTATTTCAATTCCAGATAGGTCATTGCTCATTTATAGAAAGGTCATGAATTGTTATGTGGTGCTCATATACCCACCAACACTTTTGAGCTCTTATTAGAACTATTTATAAATTCCCATGGATTGTTACACTGACATATTTTCAATATGTCAGTTTTAAAATTTAAAAAGAAAGAATAATAGAAAAACTGGGATGATCCATAAACCAAAACCTTTGGTTTGAAAAACTTAATAACAGACAAGCCTCTACCAAAACTAATTAGGGAAAAAAATAGTGTGTGTACATGTGAGGGGGGGTCCGGGGGTAGAGGGATAGTTATGGGAATAAAGAAGGGAATGTCACTACCAAAAGGGAGATATTAAGAACCACGAGAATGCTATGAATAAGTTTTACAAATGAAAAAAAAAAAAAAAAGATGCTTAATAGAAAAGGTTAATTTTCAAGAAAAAATATTAAGTAATGAACAAGGTGAATAAGCAAATTATGATTATAAGGAAATAGGATGGGCAGTTTAAAAAAAAATCTCTTCTATGCCCCTCAACCCAAATGAGGCCAAGCACAGTTGGGCCACAGGTTTAAGTGAAATTGAAGGAATCAATAATCCCAATTTTACAAAAGCTGTTTCAGTAGGAAATAGATCTCTTCCCTTTTTTCTTTTGAAAATCTATAAGCTATTATCAGAACTGAGCAGGAACAACACAAAAAAAGACAGAAAATTATAGTTTTGTCTTAAGAACATTTATTTTAAGAAAAGCTCTATTTAAAAAGCAAGCAAATGGAAACCAAGAAGCCATATTATTTAACAAATAATAGTATATTGTGCAGAGTTTATCCCAAGAATGGAAGAAAAGTTTAACATAATAAATCTGCCAGTGTAGGAAATTAATAGTGTAAAACTGTGCTCATCTCCATAGATACTGAGAAATTATTTGCTAGAATATAACACTCATCATAAACATTTTCAACAAACTAGAACAAGAGGGAGTAGCTGCTTATTTTATAAGAAGTAGCTATAGTGGGCATAACATATAATGGCACAATTTTAGGATTCCTGAAAAGTAAAAAAAAAAAAAAGAAAGAAAGAAAGACAAAACTTCTGTGGTACTATTCCCATTCCACATGGCACCAAGGCCTGGACAGCACCAGGAGACAAGAAGTATAAATAAGGATAGATAAAAATTCAGTAAGGGAAAACTGTTATCTTTATTCTTTTGAAAATAATGTCATTTAAGAAATCCACAAGATTCTATAAACAGTTTGATCTAATAGAGCACAACAGGATTGGTGGATATATGATCACCACATTAAATCCATGGCCTTTGTATACATTAGCAATACCCTCGCTGGAACTGAAGTAGGAAAACCAAACATCATTCACAACAGTACTTCAGAGTCTAAGGATTCTACGTCCAAGAAAAATAATTCCAAATCTATATGCATAAACTATGTCACTGAAGGATACAAAACAAGATTGACTTCAGTTAAGAGACAGACATACACTGCACGGTTTATGCTTTGTGACGACTCAATATGCTAAAATGTTCATAAATTCCCGAATAAACTAAAGTTTTAACGTGATGCCACAGAAGTGCCCTGAATTTCTGGTAACATTGTGAAATACACATTCATGAGCAAAAATAGTGAAGACGATTCTGAGAAAGGAAAGAAAGAAAAAGGAGAGAGAAAGAGAAAGAAGAAAAAAAAGTAAAGAATGGTGGGTTTTGATTTAGGACAGGCACTTTTCGAGGGGCTAGGGTCATCGTGGGGATATAGCCTTGATCTGCTAAAACTATTTTAATGTTTGTTCAAGGGTTTTTAAGTTGAGAAGAGGGCTCAGAGTAACCTGGCTGGAGTTTGGTCTAGACTTTACCTGCTGTCATTTCAACGAATTGCGAACGGTCACCAAGAGATGTCTTTAGCCGAGTGGGTTAGGGCAGGGCCCTGGACCTAACCGGCCTGGGTCAGAACCAGAATCCCCTCTGCCACTCACTAAGTGTATGGCCCTGGGTAAGGACAACTTCAAGACGGAGATGACTCAATGCAGATGCGGGTAACTGGGCTAATAGTTCACAGGTGTGTTACGAGGATTACACGACTAACATCTGGAAGGAACTTAAAACGTATCTGGGTGTTTGCAAAACAACAACAAGCATGTTTTTAAGGTAAATGAAAATAACTGGGAAGGACTGTGTCCTACCTGCTCCCAGGCTTCACTGTTTTTTGGGACTTCTGACTTCTTGGGCCTCTTCCTCCACTAAAATAATAACAATTAATAACACTATTAGAATCACATAAAGGTTAATTGATTAACATTATATACTAGAGCGTTTCGGCCAACCTCACAGTTGGTATTTATCTTCCGATTCAGAAGAAGCTGAAGTTCGGAGGAGCCTCAGAAAGCACCCTGGGCCCGGGGCCTGCGCCCACTGTGCCTAACGGGAGGGAGCAGAAATCGGAAAACAGTTACCGAGCACGAAGTAATCATCCACACACACGGACACACGAAGCGTCCCAGAAACCCGAGGACCGTGAGCAGGGCGCGTGCGAGCCGGCGGCCCCGCGGCGGCGCTGCGAGGCTCCCTCGGCCACTGCACAGGACGGACAGGAGGGACACAGGGACACCGCCGCCCTGCTGCTCCGGCGGCACAGCGCTCGGCTCTGCGTTCTTCCCCGCCGACCGCCCAGAGCCTGGCGGCGAACGGCCAGCCGCAGCTCCGCGACGCCGGCGACCAGCGTCTGCGCACCAGCAGGGGGCGCCGCGGGGACCCGCCCCGGCCAAGGCGGCGGCAGGGAGCGACAAGACGCGCGACCCCGCGGGGCAGCCGGAAGAACGTAACGTGACGGGAGGCGCAATGGGCGGGACGCGTGCGTGGAAACGGCCCAATGAGGGGCGGCGCGGAGGGCGTGGCCAGGAGACCGGGCTGAGGGGGCGGGGCTTGCCGGGCCGCCGGGTCCCTTCCACGCCTGCGTGGACGCGGAGGGTGGAGGACGGCCGCTGCCGATTTTTAGGACTTTGCAGTTCCAGTTGAAACCGGAGTGTAGTTGTGTTGCTGTTCGGTACTAGCATTTCGAGGCGATCCCCTCTTCCGGTCGAAAGCGCAGTTCTCTGGCGTGAGTCCCCGGACCCGCAGCATCGGCAGCACCTGGATGGTGTAGGAATGCAAATAATCCGATCCTGCTAGAGGTCCGGGGCATCAGAATCTGTGAGGTGGGGCCCAGCAATCCGTGCTTTAAAAACCGCTTCAGCTGATTTGGGTGCACGCTGAAGTTTGGGACTGCTCTGAAGTACTGTGTGTCCCTTAGTTCGGCTGCTGGAGGTGACTCTTCAAATGCGAGCTGAGCTAAACCGAGCCGTTTACCTCCAGGGTCGTTACCAAAGCCAAAACAGGGCTTAGCCCTTACCCACTCAGACTTCGATGCCAGAGTATAAGGTGAAAAATAAATATGTCTAGAAAGGCGAGGTCTGGGAGAGGGATTTGAATCAACAATGAATGCAGAATTCCATTTCTCCAGGTCTGAGTAATCATAACCTCTCATGTACAGACGTTTTGCCCTCACTTAGACGTCTCCATCAAAGGTACTGCACGGTAAATAATGAATTCCCAGTCACTGGGCCTGTAAGGAAGTAAATGCTATTTTTATAATCAGAGCAAAAATACAGTGAAAATGCTAAAACACTTTATTTAGGCTCTTTCACTTAGCTAAGGCTCTCCTGATGAATCAGTGTATAGCAAACAAGAATGGGTTGGATTTGGGCAGAATATTCACATTAATCATTCTCAGGCAGATTACTTTTCATACTTCATAACTTCTATGAGCCGATTCATCTGTTGTTTGCATTCATTTCTCATCTGCACTCATATTTTTCCCCTAACTGAAGAAATAAAAAGAGTTTGTTAGGCGCCATTTTGCCTTCAGCATTAATTTTTGGTGTATAAAACAGATGTTTGTTTTTACATATGCTCATATAACTCTCTTCTAATACTACCTACACTTTAGTCATCTTTAACATGATCAGATAAGGAATCACATCATGCTTAGCCAAGAGATATTCCTGAACAAGATGATCTTTGTTCTGAAAGCTCCAGCTATCCTTGGGGATTCAACTACTCGGCATTCAAGTAGTTCAAAGGCTCATATTTTCTTCTTTTAGTTTTTGACCTGAAAGAGAATTGGCTACTCTGATTTTCATTTTAATTCAATGACTAAGGAAAATGTAATACTCGGTAACAATTATTAAGTGCTTAGAAAATATCCATGACTGATTTGAGAGCTTCGCATGAATTATCTCAATCCTTAAAATAATTCTAAGGTGTAGTATACTGTTCTTATTTTTGTTATACAAATGGGGAAAGTGAGACTCAGAAATGGGGTCACTCATTCTATAAATTGAACCATTGCAGCAACTCCGCTCTGGCCCCTATCCCTGTTGTTATAGATATACATATACTTTAATTAGTTATGATTGCGGCAAATCCTCACTGAGAGCCCATTGTGTGCCTGCAACAGCCTTAGGCTCTGGGGAGTCAGCAGCAAAAAAGACTAACCCTGCCAGTGGAGCTTGCTGTCTGGAGAACGGGACGAGGAAAGAAACAATATACAAATTCATGTCACTTTTGCTAAGTGTAATGAAGAATGAACAGAATAAGTTAAGAATGGGATAGAAGGGCGCCACTGGACTTTTGCTGATCAGAGAGTATCTCCCAGAGGTGGTAACACTGTAATCCATCCACTCACCCCAAAACCCAAGAAATGCGGGGAGTATTTCAGTGTGTAACAGGTGGTATACCCAGCTGAAGCATCCAAAACATGACAAGGTCTATCCGCTCAACTCCCTCTTTTCCCTTTCTGCTTTCTTTGACTAGCGTGCTCTGTGGCTTCTCTGTGGTCTTCAGGCTCCGTCTGTCCTTTTGTAGTAGCCATTTGCTTCTTCCATTCTTTTTCTGAGTCCCTCTCGATTTCTCTCACCTTTATTCTTCCCCCTATGCTCCTCTGTCTTTCCTAAAAAATAGCCATAACTTGGTTGTGATACTTGTATTGTTTCGTACTTAGGAGATACAGCTTAACCTTCATGGTTAACCTTTTAGACCAAATGCTAAAACTTTAGTCCTTCACGTTTCCACAATTCCTGTTCCCTATCCATGGTAGCAGATGTCATGGTTATGAAAGGAAAAGTCACTCAAATGCTGCTGTTCAAGTAAAGCAAAGGGAGCCTTTTTTCCTGTGTAGCGCTGCAAACACATGCCACCAGAATGAAGCTCAAGAACCCGGAACTTCCCCCAACGTGATCTCCACCTCTCCTCAGGCTTCTTTCCTGCAGCCAAGGTTTGGAAGGCAGCTGGGAGTGTAAGTCAAGGACGAGACTGCTGAAGTCGTTCATCTGAATAAAGTACAAAAAATAGCCTTCAATAAGAAAACTCTGTATAACTTTTGGGTCCGCAGTCAATCGAAATGGCCAAAACTATGTGACAGAACCATCAAATGCAAATAGTTGGAGAATTCAAGTTATGGTCAATGACAGATATCTAATTCAAAACTGTAAAAAGTATCATTTTTCTTTGGACTATGTGTGTAGTAAAGCACTAACGTTATCCAAAGGGAGGTGTGGCCTTTGCCCTTTGCTGGGAGGTGATGTCTAGGCCCTTGGAATGTCCTGCAGGATAAGAGTATCTTTGTTTACTAAGAGGCCTTGGGCTGCACAGGAAAGTGTAATATCATTTATGTTCGAGGCTTTGGGCCATGTGGCGTCTGGACGACCTCCAGAGGGACTGTGGACTAAAAGATCAGCCAAGTGGACGGTCATCCATGTTTACGTGATAAAGCCCTATGGTTGGCAATGTGTATTGTGTTGTTACAATATTGTTGTGTTTCAGGAGGCATTAATACTCCCCACACCCACAAAGGGAAAGGACTACTGTTAGCTCTGAGTTGGAAACCTCTGAGACTCTGTTCATGTGCCTCTTACCTTGGCTTATTTTTAATCTATCTTTTTTATATAGTAAACTGCAACCTTGGGTATAGTCAGTTTTTAGTGAATTCTGTGAGTCATCTAAGGAATTACCAAATTTGAGGATGGTTTTGGAGACCCATCGACTTTGCAGTTGATGTCAGACATGAGGGCAGTCTAATGGGACTGTTCCTTAACTTTGCACCATGTCACAATGATAGTATTACTGTATTCTGTTTATTACTCACATATTTGGATGAATATTTTACCTAACTTACTTAATTTTGTAGTTCCCAGATGAGCCCAAGTCTATTCATCTGCCAGCAGATTTCCAAAGAGTGATAAACATTTTTTTAGGTCTTAGTGAATGATTATTTAAGAAAAAAAAAAAAAAGCAGGCAATTAGCTGTGAGTTTCCTTTATGGTCTACAAACCTAAGGGCTCCAGAAGGTCAAGAACAACCTCATCTCTCTTTGTATCTCTAATGCCCATGCCTGTGTCTGGCCCAAAGATATTCAATGACTACTTCTTGATTCATTGATTTATAAGAAATATTCTGAACTATTGCCATGGTACAATTGAGCAAGGAATTTTGACACATGTCAAGGATCTCCTTATAAGCCATCATGACTAAATTATGCTCTTTAATTTCTTCTTTTATGCCCTTTTGCTACCACTTAATCTGTTACCTTTCACTTTAAACATGGTGGCTTATTTTTAAGTCTGACTCAATCATCAATTCAAATTCTACCTCTGAAATCTATTAATTTAGCTTTAACTTCTTGTCCAATTGCAAATTTTATTAATTTGTGTTTTTCCATATTGTTAATTTCTTGTATTTTCATAAGCCAAAGTATTTTCTGGGGTTTTTCCTTTTTATTGTATTTATTTTCACTTTTAATTTTTTTTTCATACCTATCCATTTTGTGGGACATTCCTACAACCATCATGAACCAGAGATTCACTGTACAGGTGGCTGGTTAGGAGCTCTTGGATGAATTGATTGGATTCATTCAGTATTTTCTATAAGTACCTGCAATGTGCTGGTTTTATGTAACTGCAGAGACCACTGTTTGGTTCCTTACAATCTCAGGGAAAAGTCCATGAGGACATCATGTGGGAGTTTTATTGGTTTTTGTCTCTGTGGATAGTGGTCAATTGCAGTCTAATTTCCTGGAATTCTGAACAAGCTACCACGTATAAAAGTATTAGGTCCAGGTGATTATACAGCTGATTTCTGTCTACTCTTTAAAGCACAAATACTTTCTACAATCAAGTATTTAAAGCATAAAAAAGATGATATGGTGATTTTGCAATATGTTCACAAATGTACTATCCTTACCTTGAAGGATGGAGCCTTGTTACCCTTCTGAATATATGCCACATTTAAGTGACTTGCTTCTAATTAATAGAAAGTGGCAGAAGTGACAGCGTGTGACTTTTGAAACTAGGTCTCAGAGACTTTGTGGCTAATTCCTCCCCCACTCTCTCTATGATTTGTCTTTGTGGAAGAGAGTCAATTAGCCCTCCTGAGAGGTCTATGTGGCAAGGCATGGAGGTCCTACTAAGGTCCTCCTGCCAAGAGCCGACAGGAACGTGGGTAGCATGGGAGTGAGCCAACTTTGGAAGGGAACCCTCCAATCACAGTCAAGCCTTCAGGTGACTGCAGCCCATGTTTACATCTTGACTTCAACCTGAGAGACCGTGGCCAGAACCTCCCAGCAAGTCACTTCTGGATTCCTGACAACCCAGAAACAAAACGAGATAACAAATGTTCGTTGATTTAAGCTGCTGAGTTTTTAGGTAGTTTGTTACATAGCAGTAGATAATAGAGGAGAGGCCATAGTTAAGATTTTTGAAGTTACCATAATCTTAATGACACCATCTATATGGATGAACCCAAAAGAAAAAATCACAGAATGATTTTATGTATGAATAGAGGAGGAAAAATCCCTCTGACATATTAAAATGTGTGCAGCCAGTATTTAGGATAATAATACAACATGACCAAATAAGATTTGGCCTGGGAATGCAAGTATGGAGTAACATTAGGAAATCTACCTACACTTCATTGCAGCAGGATAAAGGAGGAAAAGCACATGATTCCATCAAATGCCAAAAATTCACGTATCATTCCTAATAAAAACTCTTAAAATATATTTAGAAGGAAACTAATATATTTGGAAGGAAACCCACGCAAACAGATTAAACATTCAGACACATGTGTACGCAGGCAAACAAGTTTTTCATGAGGCATGAACAACCAAAGCCACTTCAATGAGAAGGAAGAAAAAGACCGTGATGCCTGCTAGCAGAGCTAACATGGCAAACAGTTTGTGATTTCAGCTAACACAATAACATGATGGAAGTAATTAACAGAAATAGATATTGGAAAGAATATCAAATTTTTTGATTTAATGGACTGAAAAAGCCAGTCAACAGTCCATTAACTATTGATTAAATTGACATATGACATAGTTTAGTAATCAGATAGATATAAAGTGCATGTAAATAATCAATTTCTCAATTGTCCTCCCCTCCCCCCCAAAATTTATAAGTGCTTCAGTCTGATGCCATCTGTCAGAACAGATTAGAAAGCAGAACCTTGTGAAAATCAGCCTTACATTTGTTGTGAGAATTTACGGGGATTAGTTCACAGTGTGACAGAGTGACCCCCCTTTTGTTGTATGAGTTTCACTCTGTTTTATTTATTTTTAATTACATGAGTACTCCATCAACTCTATAAAAAATTCTCAGCCATGATCTTTGAAAGCTCACACCTGCACCATTCTCTCTGGTTGTCTTTTTGGTACCATGATTAGATGTATGGCAGACACACTTACTACTAATTCCAGATCTCTTAAATTCACTTTTACATTTCTCTCCCTGCATTTTGGATAAATTCTGCTTACAGAGTTCATGTAAATTCTTCATCTGGGGTCAATTAACTATTTGGCCTATCCAGCAAGCCTTTAATTTTAATTTTCTTATAATTAATTGTATATATATAGATTCATTTCTAGAATTTGTATTTGGTTCTCTTAAATCTTTTTGGAAAATTCTTTGTGTTCTTAGTCCCTCAGCATATTTCAAATAGTCCTTTTTTTTCTTTTTAATTATATTAAAGTTAGCAATCTGAAATCTATATCTGTTAATTTTCTTTGTACTCTGTTTCCATCGTGTGCTTCTCTTATTCTTGGTCATAGTGTCTTGTTGAATTGTGTGTTGATTTTGGTCACAAAGCTGCTCATTCGTTTTCTTTGATATCTTATTTGTGGGGATTTGTTGAGGCCTAAAAATGAAGCTTATTCCTCCACAAAGGATGTGTCTTTGCATTTACCAGGTGCTCAGAGGCACCAGCTTGCGATATCCCTACATTAATTCTCAGCCTGGGTGTATTCTGAATCCCTGTGATATTAATGGCAGAAACAAGTGAGTTGTAGCCCAAATTCTCCATGGCAGAATCTACCTCGCTCAGCACTGAGGCTCAGGACACTCTTGTTGCAATCCTCTATGGTGAGTGTGGGTAGGGGTGGGTGCGCATGTGTGTTCATTTCTAGTTCATCCTTCTACTGTGAGGATGTAACAGGTCAGGTTGTCAGCTACACCAGGAAAGTTTCTCATGTACAGCAGAAGCCACATCCTGCCTGGAAGGGCTTCCTTTCCCTTTCTCCCTCCTTTCAGTCCTTGCCTCCTGGGGACATGGGGAAAGAGTCCCGGTACCGAGAAGGGGGCCTCAGTCCTGGGGTAACTCTCGCCTAGTCAGTCAGACACCTTACGGGATTGAGTAGTGGGCTTCTCTCTTGTGACCCAGAGCGACTTGCAGCTAAATGCTGCCGGAAGAGCGTAAATGGAAAAGAGCTTCCTAGGAGAGAAGGTATAATAGCTGACAGGATGAAGGCCTCTCTAAGACAGGACAGGCTCCCTTTCCTGTGCCTTTAGGACACAGCACATACACACAGACTGCCCCCCACCGCGCCCCCCCCCCCGCGCCCCCTGGCCCCCCCACCTGAAATGGCAGCAATTGGAAAGGTAGCAAACCAGGAAAGCCTAGGTAAGATTTCTGTGAAAGCTCATATTGTCTTCGGCTTTTTTCAGTATTACAGATCTATATGCTAAAAAGAAAAAGCAAAGCTCTGAGCAGAAGAAAGTTTTCAGAGCCTGCTCTTTGTGCACCCGGTAAGAGGTCCTTACCAAGTCCTTGAACGTCATGATGAATTTGGTGCCCCGCACACGGAAACGAGAGCTCTACCCTTGAAATGGCATTTTCATTTGAAACTGATGTTCAGTTTTGTGGAACTAAAGGATTAATGGTTCTATAGAACCTTTTTTGTTCATCGTGAGCGCTCAATTTATGGTGGGTATTGTAATTGACCGGGAAACGTGCACATACTTGCTACGAAGCCCTACCTGGAATTAAAGTCCTAGCTAAGTTAAATTTAGGAGACATCCGAGAATAGCTCTCAGAATGAGAGGATTACAGCTCATTTACCGAAAGCATGCGTGGCTCTGAAAAGAGCCTTTGGGGTTGGGATCACGAGAGGCTTACTTGTCAACTTTACTTGGAGCTGGTGTACTTGGTGACGGCCTTGGTGCCCTCGGACACGGCGTGCTTGGCCAGCTCCCCGGGCAGCAGCAGGCGCACGGCCGTCTGGATCTCCCGCGACGTGATGGTCGAGCGCTTGTTGTAATGCGCCAGGCGGGACGCCTCGCCCGCGATGCGCTCGAAGATGTCGTTGACGAACGAGTTCATGATGCCCATGGCCTTGGACGAGATGCCCGTGTCGGGGTGCACCTGCTTCAGCACCTTGTACACGTACACCGAGTAGCTCTCCTTGCGGCTGCGCTTGCGCTTCTTGCCGTCCTTCTTCTGCGCCTTGGTCACCGCCTTCTTCGAGCCCTTCTTCGGCGCCGGGGCCGACTTCGTGGGTTCAGGCATCCTAGCGTTAAGTTAGAACACTATAACTAAGACCTGGGAAAATAATCGGGAGCGCCAAAGCCCCGTTTATTTATAGATGCGGTATTCAAATGAGGTTAGCAAGATTTCGTTCCTGATTGGATTAATTTTAGTGTGTCGTCACAAATGCGAATGTAAAAGATACATGCAGACCTGGCTTTTCATTGGCTGCTTCGTTACTGTGCTTCGACCCAATCAGAAGGCCTAGAGTAGTCTGCCCAAACCTAGTATAAATAAGCCTCTAAAGGAATTGCGCTGGATATTTCTCCGAGAACCAATGGAACTTTTGTGAGGTTAGCTTTCGGGTTTTTTTGGTGTAGACAGCTCCCTGCTGGCTAGTACGGCTTCCTGTGTTGACTCTGAGCCCTGCACCACGGGACACCTGGTGGTCCTGCTGAGGTCCTAGAAGGTAGAGTTCTCGGGCTGATAATGAAATCATTGACATAAACATTCGCCTTACAAGCAGGAGCTTTGCAATGTGCTGGGCTGCTCGACATGTTTACCTCCTGAAAAAAAAAGTGCCTGCGAGAATTGTGCTAATTTGTTTACCGTCCTCGCACTGGGCGAACTCCCATGAAGCGGAGAGATAGGTGGGAAATAGCATTGGGCGCACTGGTGTCCGTATAGCGACATCAGCTATGTTCCCTGGAGAGATAGGTGGGAAATAGCATTGGGCGCACTGGTGTCCGTATAGCGACATCAGCCATGTTCCCTGGACCCGAAAGCACCTACGCTGTAAAGTTCCTTAAGGGTCGGGTGTATGCAAGTGGCGTTGCGGTGAGAACCACCTCCCGGGGAGGGAGGTACCGCCCCTCCGCGGTGCGCCCTCCCTCCCGCCACGCCCCCTACGAACACAGTGTGCAACAGCTCTTTTCCTGAGGTCTGGGGTGGCTCTGAAAAGAGCCTTTGGGTTGTGTTAAGCTTCTAAGCAGTTGGCCAAAGAAACTTATTTCTTCTTAGCTGCCGCCTTCTTTGGCTTGGCTGCCTTGGGCTTAGCGGTCTTTGGCTTGGCCGCCTTAGGTTTCACCGCTTTGGCCTTCGCAGGGCTCTTGGGCGCCTTCTTGGGCTTGGCTGCTTTCGCTTTTTTCGGGCTCTTCGCCTTTTTGGCTCCTGCAGCCGCGGCAGGCTTCTTGGCCTTCTTGGGGGTCTTCTTGGCGCTCTTCTTGGGGGTGCTCGCCCCCGCGGCCTTCTTGGGCTTCTTGGCCGCCCCGGAGGCCCTCTTGGGCTTGGCCGCGCCCGCCTTCTTGGCTTTGGGCTTGGCCTCCCCGGAGGCCGCCTTCTTGTTGAGCTTGAAGGAGCCCGAGGCGCCGGTGCCCTTGGTCTGCACCAGGGTGCCCTTGCTCACCAGGCTCTTGAGGCCCAGCTTGATGCGGCTGTTGTTCTTCTCCACGTCGTAGCCGGCGGCCGCGAGCGCCTTCTTGAGCGCGGCCAGGGACACGCCGCTGCGCTCCTTGGAGGCGGCGACGGCCTTGGTGATGAGCTCGGACACCGGGGGCCCGGACGCCTTGCGCTTGGCGGCACCTGCCGACTTGCGGGCCTTCTTTTTCACGGGCGTCTTCTCGGCAGGGGCCGGAGCTGCGGGCGCGGCGGGCGCAGTCTCAGACATGTTGAAGGCGGGCGCGGGGAGAGCAATTCGAGCCGGAAGCAGAGGCACTGGCCGGGACTCGGGCCGCGCCGCTGCGCCCTCCCGTTTATATAGGGCGGAGCTGCGCCGTGATTGGTGCGCTGTCCAGCCCGCCTCGCTGGCAGCCGCAGAGTGTCCTCTCGGATCCCGAGTTGTGTTTGTTACACCTCAAAAAATGCCAAAAATATCAAAATTCTCTACATCGAGTCGCCCGGTTTTTCTCAGAAAATGATCCCTGAAGCCTCAGGCTTCAGGCTGGCCTCAAATTATGAAGAAAGCACAAAGCTTTATGCCAAAAACTTGCAATATTTCCCGCCGTGCTCTTCAAATTTCAACTCAGAGAAACAAAACTTTCTATTTTCTTCGTAAATTATAAACCGATCTTTAACTGTGGAGTTTTCTGACCTCTCAAATAGGATTCTCCAAGTGGTTAGCTTCTTATATGTCCAAAAACCATGCCACTGGCACTAAGATTTTTATTACAAATCTGCGCTTAAGTGAGGGAAGTAACACAGGCTCCTCGGAGAGTCCTGCCTATTGAGCCGAGGGCATTTGAGTTCATCAAACTGGTATAGTTTAATGCCAAACAAATTATTGCCCATTTGGGGTTAGATTTTGGACCCCTGGGACATCAGTCTATGCAGTCATGGTTTTATTTCTGTCTGCTGCAACGGGGTTTTAAAATAATTCTTTAGGATAATTCTTTTCCTTTCTGCTCCCAAGGGTTGGGGGCGGGGCTGTTGCCTCTCTTTTCCCTGGACAACTGCTGCATGAGTTTAGATACCTTGAATTCAGGATATTTGGGACGGTAAGGGAATCCCAAAACATAGTCAGGGTATACAGATGGAAAAGGATTAATTTTCACACGACACAGAGATGAAGTCCATAAAATCACTGTAAGTGGAGGGGCACTTCGAAGAATTTGCAGTGTTGCTGAGTTCTTTTGGCATGTTCTTCAGGATTAAACTAATAAAGGAGTTAGAATTGAAATTCAAGCGTCGATCATGAGGGGAAAGAAATGGGAAGTGTAAATTATAACATCTCTACTCCCATTATTAGAGAAACCCAGACCCTGTTATTACTCAATAGTTGATGAATAGCTAGTCCACACATCAAATATGGATGGTTTCAGTCATGAAGATTATGGCCGTATGCTTCCCAGTGTTCCATAAAAAAGAAAACAAGTTACATGTAGGATTGAATTATAAGTTCAGATTTCCATCTCAGAGGCAGATCTTTGAGGAATTATGCAAGTTAAGTCATTGCCCTCTGGAGACATCCTCTGCCAGGTCCTGTTTAGGTAGTTGCCCAATCAGCAAAGAATACATGTTGGCAATGGACATGTACTAAAGAATGGATATGTACTAAAGGAATTATTCCTGGAAAATAGTCTGGATGGAATTGTCTTTAAAAACTTGCAAGCCGTGTACTTGAGAAACAAAGTACAATTTTGGCCAGTGCTATTAAGTGATGTGACACTATTCTGTGGGGGTAGCTGGTTGTAACACAGCATTGGAAATCACATTAATTTTTAGTTTTATTCATCCTCTCCACACACAACAGACCCTCCTACTAAAATCAAAGAGAATACTTATCTTTGATACAACAGTATTTAAATGTTTCAAATTAGTGTTATTTAAATTAATGCTGGTATAAAAGTGATGTAAATTATCAGTATTTTTAAAGCCTTAGTGTATAAACATTTCAGTGTAATTAGTGCATGCTAGTGAAAAATAAATATGCCCTTTGGTGTATATAAAAATAAAAAGGGAGAGGATAAGGTTCCAAAACAGACCAGTTGATAGTTTCTAGGGAAACTGATTTATGGGCACTCAATCCCAGAACAGTATATTATACTCATTCTCAATGACAATACCTCTTGTAAATGGCTGAAATTTATGCAACCCATTGAAGTTTTCTCTTAAATGTCTGACTTGATTCTATGTATTCCTTACTATTTCTGACTTGGAGGGACTTAAACTCTCCAAATCCTGTGATCTTTCAACTCACGTTTGCTTGTGTCCTATGGTATGATGTGTTTTCCTATAAGTAAAATTAAGTCATGGATTCATATAATCCACTGGCGATCTCTCACTATTAAAGCAAATATTTATTTGACACTCTTCTTTTTTTTTCTCCTTTTTAAACAATTTTTTATTGTTATGTTAATCACCATACATTACATCATTAGTTTTTGATGTAGTGTTCCATGATTCATTGTTTGTGCATAACACCCAGTGCTCCATGCAGAACGTGCCCTCTTTAATACTCATCACCAGGCTAACCCATCCTCCCACCCCCCTCCCCTCTAGAACCCTCAGTTTGTTTTTCAGAGTCCATCATCTCTCATGGTTTGTCTCCCCCTCTGATTTCCCCCCCTTCATTCTTCCTCTCCTGCTATCTTCTTCTTTTTTTTTTTTCTTAACATATATTGCATTATTTGTTTCACAGGTACAGATCTGTGATTCAACAGTCTTGCACAATTCACAGTGCTCACCATAGCACATACCCTCCCCAGTGTCTATCACCCAGCCACCCCATCCCTCCCACCCCACCCCCCACTCCGGCAACCCTCAGTTTGTTTCCTGAGATTAAGAATTCCTCATATCAGTGAGGTCAGATGATACATGTCTTTCTCTGATTGACTTATTTCGCTCAGCATAACACCTTCCAGTTCCATCCACATCATTGCAAATGGCAATGATGTATATATATATACCACATCTTCTTTATCCATTTATTTGACACTCTTCTATGATGAAATAGGAGTAACACCAAAGGCTCTACTTTTTTTTTTTAAAGATTGTATTTATTTATTTGAGAGAGAGAGACTGAGAGAGAGAGCACATGAGAGGGGGGAGGGTTGGGAGGGTCAGAGGGAGAAGCAGACTCCCTGCCGAGCAGGGAGCCCGATGCGGGACTCGATCCAGGGACTCCAGGATCATGACCTGAGCCGAAGGCAGTCGCTTAACCAACTGAGCCACCCAGGCACCGCAAAGGCTCTACTTTATACTATTGATCTGCCAGCTTGGCCAGCTATATTTCAACCACCTGGGGAGTATACACTCCCCATAGCATAGATAGTATACATATGCATAGATAGTATACATAGATAGTATTGCATAGATAGTATACAATCTATGCATGACTGCATAGATTGATGTCCCGGGGGTCCAAAATCTAACCCCAAATGGGCAATAATTTGTTTGGCATTAAACTATACCAGTTTGATGAACTCAAATGCCCTCGGCTCAATAGGCAGGACTCTCCGAGGAGCCTGTGTTACTTCCCTCACTTAAGCGCAATGACTTAACTTGCATAATTCCTCAAAGATGGAAATTGAGCATGTGTGCTTATATTTTAAATACAGATTCCAAAGTCTTGCTCCAGATGATTCTGAACCAATAACTCTAGTGAGTCTCAGAATCTGAATATTTAACAAGTCCTCAGTTCCCTCTGATGCCCAGCCTAGCCTGGAAACCACCACTCTCACTGGAGGTGACCAACGGGACAAAAATGTTTTCCCTCATGCGTGTGTTCCTGTGGAACAAGAACACCCATGCTGGACATGACCTCGGGTTGAGAGGATGGGGCCAGCAGCAGTGCAACCCTGACTTCCTTGGATTGGCACCCGACTGGGCACTCGTGTGGCCTCTAGAAGGAGAAAGGATAGTGATGGCAAAGGCTCCTGGGCTTCTTGATTTTCCGTCCACATAGGGTGGACTGGGTCTCGGCCACCTGTGGACTCCCAGAATCACCTAGCACAGCATCTCCACTTCTCATCCCATTTTATACATTCTTAATAAAGACTACCCTTTCCATTTACTGGTTATTGTACTCTGTGCTACCCACCTTCTGCCTTAGTCAAGGCAACAATCCCTAGTTTGGGATATTGTCCCTATTTTACATAGGAGGACATGGGCTTACACAGGCTAAGGGCTTCTGAGTCTGCTATGAGGTACATCTAGATGCCAGCTCACATCTGCCTGGCTTTAAAGCATGTGCTCTGAAAGTGCGTTCCAGACTGCAGGTGTGAATAATCATTAGAGGTTGTGAAATCAGTTGAGTAGCATGGACCAAATGTTCCTTTCTTTTAATGAACTAGAATAGGATATCAAATACCAGAGCCCAATTCATTTGGTTTCAGTTATCCACTTAGCTCTTTGGCTGTGTGTTGATGCCATCCTGTGTGAAATGGATTTCTTCTGTGCAGGACCATAGGGCCAGACTGGGAGGAGTCGTCCTCATGCAATTTCTTGAACTCATGAAATATTATCAAGTGTATTAATCTCTAATGAGCTAAAAAGGAAATGTCCTGATATTGACCTTTTTTAAGCCTCTAGGAAAAACCCTGAGTAATGGAAAGTGGGGAGCACTCGGCGAACACTTCCATTTTGGACACGATAACAATTATGCTAGAGGAACAGCAGTATAATTTGCACAAAAGTTGAAGGGACTGGGAGGCTTGTATTTGGTTCCTTTTACTCAACAATTCTGGGTTCCAAGTACTTAATTGGAACTTGACTTGGAATTGGAACTCCAATTGGAATTGGACTTGGCTATTTTAATGTTACCATGATTGCTTCTTTGAAGATAGAGTTTGGGAAAGAGGTGTTTTTTGTAAGACAAATGAGTGCCCCCTCCCCGGCTTCTTCAGGGGAGCTGTTTTGTGCTCAGGGACATGGCAGCATTGTGAAGACCACCCGTAGAACTCTATCTGTTGGGACAGACTTCCCCTTTGTGGACTTTTAATAGGTACTCTCTCTTAGCTTTTGGCGTAGAACATTCCTGGAGGATTTTTCTTAAAAGGAGCTATATGTTCCTTTAAAAACTACTATTCTTTTTTATCTAATTCATCCATCAGAAGTATGTTTGCATACCCTATGCTATTTGTTACTGCCTGTTTGAAACTGTGAAATATTGGGAAGAACTTTAATATCCACACAGAAGAGCGTGGTTGAGTAACCTAGGGCAGATTTGCAGAATTGAGGAATATGCAGCTACAAAAGTGAGTCAGAAAGATCTCTATGAAGTAATAAGGAGTAAAT